TCAAGGTCAGGACAGTTTCCTTTAATGTGAAAACACATTTCAGGGAAGTAGAAGTTCAGCCAAATTACAACTTTCTTTACCATAAAGGAAGACTCTAACTTTTCACTTCACCCTCTCTCCTTTTTCTTTTCTTTCCCCTCTTATTTATCTACTGTTCTGAAAGGGCCATGTAACTGGGGATACACTGCTGTTCATTCCTTTTCCTTTAGGCAAAGTTAAACGCTTACAGAAATGCTAGACATGCAAGCTGTCCTGACACAACCAGGGGCAATAAGGCAAAGGTGTCTGCCACAGGCATGCAGACCTAGTTTGGCAGCAGCACCCACAATGCTCTCCACATGTGTGGGGGACATGGTCAGCCCTCACAGCCACACAGGCCTTCATCTCCATTTTGAAAAGTTACCTGCTAAATCAAAGCGATGTTCAACTAATTAGAAAGCAACTGATATTTGCCTAATGGTCACCAGGTAACCTGGACTGCTCTGAAAATTGCAACCAAGACATGCAAGCCATGTGTCACAGCAGATTCATGCACTACACTAAGCTCCATTACCATCCATTGCTGCTCCATGATGTGCTAGTACACCCATAACATGTAATTACCATAAGCTTAATTATTTCTTCTCTGATATGTCATGTGGTATTAGGTGGCAACTGCAGGAAAGGATGGCTACCACTGTTCTACAACAAAAGAAATCACTAGAGATGTACTTCCTTTAAGTCAATATGCCTTTGAAATTACTCTAGTGCATGCAGGAAACTAGCTCAGTGTTAACAGAGGAAGACTACAATCAGTGTAATGAAAGCCTGAGAAAAAAAAAGGTATCAATTGCTAGAGTATGGATAGATGTAGAAGAACATGCAACTTACTGCTTACTTCTGTTCTATCATTTCTAATTTTCCATATAATGAATATACACAACCAAAGAGAGTTTGAAAATCCCACACTAATAGTGCTATTGAGGACCAGCATCTATGAACAGCAGGTACACCATAGCTTGGTCTGGATATTCCTCACATAGTTGAGAGGCTGCTAGGCTTCTTCTCATATTGATAACCATAACAAAGCTGTAATGACTTCACAAAAAGAGCTGTTTTTTCTTGAAACAGCAAATGAAAAATAAGTTTCTTAATTTAACAAACTTCACCGAGGGGAAAAAAATTATCTTCTGCAGCACACATAGTATTTATGCAAGAGTTTCAACTACAAAAATCAAACCAAACTTCTCAGTATTCATTCCAGTTTACAAAGTCTGAAATCCTCATTTTAGAGGAAAGAACCATATACCACATGGGAGAGGAAATAAATTTTAGTAGAGATCACAGAAAGTGGTACTATAAAATGGCAGTTGGATGGGTGGTATAGATAATGTTTATAGAAAGTTTGAAATAGTATGTTGCCAATAAATATCAGCCTAGGCACTGAAATAATACATGAATAAAATCCCTTGTATTTTTAATCTATGTTTAATCCTTAGAGAACTAGAGGATGCTCAATAAACATTTTAAGTCTTATCTCTATAAACAGATCTACACATTTTCTGTGCACAGGTATGTAAGTTCATAAAATTACAAATATCATATATACTGTGCATAAGACTAAGGCATAGTTCAATATAAGATGATCCAAATACATTGTCTTGCAGATGCATCTTCTAAGAATCAAGCTGGAATGAGTTTAACATCCTCTAACCTTTGCTAAAAAGGCAGCCCTATCTTTGATTGGTACTACACCATTTGACACTCCAACAAGAAGAAAAAACATTACTCAAAGTAAAGCACACACTTTCATGCGTTCACTTTAAATTCATCTAAAGCAATGCCTTTTTTACATGTTGTCTTTTAAGAAAATCTAGAAGCAGTTAAAACTTCAGCCTGAAGAAAATTTTATACTTGGTATATTTTCCATTATATTAAGGAATAATTATGTGATTGCTAGTGAGTATATATATATATATATATATATATATATATGAAAAAACACCCCAAACATTTAAATTTTCAAAATGTGAATTTGGGTTACCCGATTTTAGTTTTTAAAAAAATCAATGACTCTATAATCCCTTTTGCCTTTTGTATTATTTATTAAGGTTACTTAAGGGAAAAATATTATTTAGTCCACCCAATGTTGTATGAATATTAAACAGACTACTTAATTTTGTTCCACTGCACTTAGGTCACACTTGACAAAGTACAGTTCCTAACTAGTTTCTTTCATGGAAAGGGAAAAGAACAAAACCAGAAAATGTGAAAAATAACATATCTGTGGGGACAAGAGAACTGTAGGAGAGCACAGTAATACTCGCTATCAAAGTAATAGATGCCTGCAGTGAAGTTCCCAAAGCCTAAGACAACATACAGCTTACATGGAAAACTGAAACTCAAATCTATGTTTTACATTGCTGTAATGATAGCAATTGCAAAATAACACAAATCCTCAGCCAGCTCTAAGAGGAACAGGCTTTTTCAAAGAGAAACATACTCATGTCAAGTCTAGTCGAGGTTGCTGCGCTCACAGTCTGAAGGATGCCTTTCTGCTACACAACAGAAGGAGAGAGAAGTACTTACATTGGAAACACTTAAAAAAGATACTGGATCTTCAAAACAAATTTTATACATTTGGTATTTGATAAAAGGACAAAGTTTAACCCCTTTCCCCTGAACTTCTCAGAAGCTACTAATGATAAAACTTCAAGTTTTGTCAGACATGAGGCAGTGGGAAACAAAGATGTAACTCTTGGTACTTAACTATCAAAAGCAACCCGTGTCCCTTTAAACCTTAAATAACAATTTAAAACAAGATGCATTCTTTAGACTGCTAGTGGCCACCATAGGCCTTGGATCACTCAACTTGTTTCACTTCCAGTTTCACTAGAGTAAAAAAAATATGCAAATAAATTCAGTTTTTTTCTTTTCCTGCAGATAACCAAAAAAGGTGAATCCCAGTGCACTTGCAAAAAAAAAAAAATCCCATCCCTTATGTTCAATGATGAGCAACTTACAGGACTGCTGTAGAGTAAGGAAACAAGAGAACTTGCAGTAAGAGAAAAAAGAATGCAATTCAGTCAAGGCAGGAGAGGTGTAACAAAGTTTCTAAACTTTAACAAGTATCAGAACCACAGTAGTTTGCAGAAGAAATTGTTACACAAGTATTTGTTTCAGGGAAAAAAGGCTGACGTTACTATTAGGGACTTAATCATGTACACTATTGGTTAGCAGAAATATGAACTGAAAGACTATTGACTATCCAGACTCACACTATTCTAACATGATAGTGAAAATATTATAAAAGCTATATACACTTTTAATAAATGTTTCTGATTATACCATGACTGGGAACAGTGCCTCATTTATACGTTGCAGACTGCTGCCCCTCAAATACTTGTTAAAAATTATATTAATGGAGGACTGATCACCCTGAACTATCTTGACAAATTAACATACATTATAGATGTTAGTTATTGATATGGTAAGTATAATAGTAGCTAGAGGTTAAATTTATGCATACTTGTGTATCACTTCAGAGGATCACAACTTATATGCCAAAAAGGCCAGACAGGAATAATTTAAAAGAACAAAAATACATAATTTTCCATCATGGTGGACTTCTATGATGGAATGACTGCAAAGACCAACCAATATCATCTATCTAGACATCCATAAAGCCTTTGACATGTCTCACATGACATCCTTATCTCCAGATTGGAAAGGCACGGGTTTGAAGGGTGGACTGTTCAGTGGACAAGGAACTGGCTGGATGGACACAACCCAACAGTTGTGGTCAGTGGCTCTATGTCCAGACAGAGGACAGTGATGACAGTGATCTGTCAGGCCTCTGTCTTGGGACTGGTGCTCTTTAACATCTTTATCAGTGACACAGGTCCTCAGCAAGTTTGAAGATGACATAAAGCTGAGTTGGCACAAGGAAGGGATGCCATTCAAGGGCACCTGGACAAACCTGAAAAGCGGGCCCATAAGAACCTCATGAGATTTAACAAGTCTAAGTGCAAAGTTCTACAACTTTGTTCTGGAGCAACTTCAATGAGTCCAGACCATAAAAACACTGGGAGAAGAAATCATTGAGAACAGTCCTCTGGAGAACAACCTGGGGGTGCTGGTTAATGAAAAGCTGGTCATGACCTGGCAATGTGCACTCACAGCCCAGAACGCAAATGGTATCCTACACTGCAGCAAAAGAGGATTTGCAACAAGTCAAGGTAGGTGATTGTCCCCTTCTACTCTCATGAAGACCCCAACTGCAGTGCTGTGCCCAGGTCTGGGGTCCTCAGCACAAGAAAAAACATGGACATGTTGGAGTGGGTCCAGAGGAGGCTGCAAAGATGCTCAAGTGGGCTAGAGCAGCTCTACTATGAAGGCAGGCTGAGAGAGTTGAGGTTGTTTGTGTGGAGAAGATAAGGCTCCAAGATGACCTCACTGCAGCCTTTCAGAACAAGTTTGACACAGGTATATAATAACAGAACAAAGGGGAATGGTTCTAAACCATAAGAGGAGAAATTCAGATTAGCTGTTAGGAAGAAACTCTTTACTGTGAGCATGGTGAGGCACTGGAACAGGTTGCCCAGAAGTTGTACATGTCCCAGCCCTAGAAGTGTCCAAGGCCAGGCTGGAGAGGACTCTGAGCAACCTGGTGTAGTAAAAGGTATCCCTGCCCATGGCAGGGGGGTTGGAACTAGATGATCTTCAAGATCCCTTCAAACCCAAACCAGACTGCAATTCTATGATAATTTAGAACTTTTACAAATCAAGCCTCTCTATTTGCTACATTCCCATGCTAGCTTTTCAGCCCACCATATATTTGTTTTGCAGGTTGTGACCCCTTGGAAACTTGAATGTATACACTGACTTACAATTTAATGTACTTCGATAGTTGTTCTTATGAGAGTGATTTCAGCCTGGAAATATCTCAGCTAACAATGTCTCCAACAGCAGTTAAGAACAAAACTGGTGTTTCCTTTAAAAGAAAAATCATACCAAAGTTGTTCCAAAATTATACAGTAAATAAACTTTATTTCTTCTCAGCTCTATTCATATTAGTGCTGTCAACAGTTACAGATCAGCGTATGATACAGTTATGTAGCAACTATTTACAATTTACAGGAACACACATTTTTCTTCAGAAAATATAAGTACAAAAGCTAGGAGTAAACAAACGAGGTACTGCAATTTGGATTTATTGTAGGCAAAAGCATATAGAAGTGACCCTCTACCAAACAATCAAGATCACATCAGGAAAGAATAGTCAATAAGAGTGTTTAGTTCATCAGAAAAAAATCACCTCAGTTGCTATCCATCCAATATGTATTGCACAATTCAATCAAAAATAAAAAAAATAAATAGAAGAAACAAATCATTTATTTCAATTTTAGAAAACACCCAGTAAAACCTGAATAGAGATACAGTAGCAGGCAATTCTTTCCTAGGATAAAATCTTTTCTTTCCTTTAAAAAAATAACCTTTAACACAAAATAGAAGACCGTATTCAATAGAAGAGAAATAACCAAATAACCCCTGATTAGCATTTCTGCCAAGGCAGTTGATTATATTCACAGTCCAAAGGTGGTGCTGAGTTTTGGTTCTTGCTATTCTGTTTGTGACCTTGAATTACAGCTTTTTTTCTTGTCCCTTCTCAAGGGGCAACAAGAGATATAAACTTATTTGTAAGCAGCCATGTCATGAGACATTCTCATGACAAAATCTTCAGGATGGTCGTAGCCAGAACTAGAAGAAAGGAAATTTAAAAGAAATTATCAAATGTTACATTATTAAAAACAACTTAGAAGCTCTTAATATTAAAATAATTGCATTATTTATTAATACAATTATGAGACAGAAGAATTTCAAATAAGTTAAACTGCCAAATTATTTGAACAAGCAACTCCATTCAAGTATCTGCAGAACAGTTGAGAAACTGATAAAAACAAAGTGTAGCAAAACAGTCAGCAGTCTCACTGGAAATAGTCTACCACATCACTGTATATTAATCCAAAGGAAAACAAATTTGGACTCTCTTGCATAAGGCTTATCATCAAAAGTGAAATGATGATGCAGAATTTTGGACCTAGCACATAGCCTCCTCTACAGGAAAATATCAATTACCTTCACAATGAAATCAGCATCCCCCTTAATTTCTAAGTTATATACCTGCAAGAATATGTGACAAGAATACTTGAGATGAAGCAGGCAACTACAATCTAATAATGAAGTCTGAACAGTTTACATATACATCAGCTGATGTTATGAAAGTGTAACCAATAATTTCTGACATTAAGGTCAATATCAACAAGCCTTTCTGTGATATGCTTCAAAGGCAGCTCAGAACACCAGAATTTTTTTACACCAGCATTATAGACAGCATGACAAGAACGTAAGTTTCAAACATATCTTCTGCAACCTGTTCTGCAATAGTGTTGTAAATGGCTTTGTTCCATCAGTATTTACAATTCAATTCTTTTCAACAAAGGGATAGAGAAAACAGTGGCTGATTTTGTCAGAACTGATGAAGGCTGCTGGCAAACAGTCCAAACTCTATTGCATTTTAAGTGCAATAAAGTGCATTCATTACTTTATTCAAAGATGGAAAAAACACAAAGTAGAAACCATGACTGTTAGAGAAATAATTTTTTTTCCTTTTAAAGAGGTTATTATTTTGTGTTGAAGGCTGTGTTTGCATGACAGCAGGAGAGGACGATAACCTGTCAACTGCACTGTGGTAAATGGTAAATGCCAATAGCCTAAGTTAATTAATTTTGCTCTGGCAGTGATGCATTAGGCCAACAAATGCATTTCAGCCAGAAGATAGCAACTGCTTCACATGCACTGAATCAATTCCTAGCAACTGTGCAAAGCTTTCCAGTTGCAAAGGGGGAAAAAAAAGTTAAACTGACCATATCCTATAAAATTAATCTGCAGAGTTTATTAAATATCATACATATACACCACTAGTGATTCAAATAATAATCTTTATCAGCCAGTGAAGAAAGTTTTTTCATGTGTACTTCCATAGCCCAGTCCTCTGTCAACCAGATACTGCATATGTGTTGCTTGTCTAGCTAGGCTAGTCGGATGCAACCTGCACCTTCATGCCTACATCATCTGTTCTGTTCTTGCAAAGCTACAACTAGCAATGCAGATTCATAATTGAAGTAGCTTAACAAAACTTGAAGACACAAATTGAGAGCATAAAGCTCCTCTAATTGTTCTGTCATATCTCTGCTTTAGCATTGCTTGATATCAAACCAAAGCTATGATTCAGAAAGGTACTGATGTTTAAATGTAATCATATCCTAATCCCTCTGCAGAGAATATTCATCAATCTTTTAAAAGATAATGCATTTTCGTATTTACAAGATGTAAAAATTAATTTCCAGCAGTACAGCATGTGTCCCACAAATCTGATTTGTCTGCCTATTCAAAAAAGGAACTTAGAAAACAAATAAATACAAAACAAACCCAAGTGCAATAAAATTCAATATTACATATTAATTAATTTAAAATCTGATTTTATTTCTACAATTGAGATTTTTGTGGTTCAATCAACATTTGAAGTTATGCTTAGGGTTAGGGTCACTCAAAAAGATCAGTTTTGAATCAGTATTTACCATTTTCAAACTCAGCTTTGTAAAGCAAAACATGATTAAGAGGAAAAAAATTATCATATGCATATACAACCAAAATTTGCTCTTTAATGGAAAGCAGACAAGAAAATAAAGCAGAAGAATCATTAATTGCATGATACAGATTTCAATTTAATAAAACAAGAATGTATTAGACTTCACTCACCCACATGCTAGCTAAGCACAGACTGGTGGCATATTCAAAAGATACCACTGCGAGGTGAGGCAAACTACAAAGCCAGGAAGAAAAGAGCTTATTGGACTATTTGATGGATAGTGTTATGAAGTGTTAACAAATAAGAACTCTGTGGACATCTATGGATGAGATTGCTGCAGTTAGATCACAACAACAACATAGTAAAAAACAGATTACTGAAGATTATATTGATCTAGCATATGTTAACCAGGAACTGCTACAAGTTTTCAGAAACTTGTTAAATATATGCCCACTAAGAGGGTATAAAATTATTCACAGATACTTAGTACCACACACTTACTCTGGTAGCATAGTAAGTTAATAATTTACAACCAAAATTACTTACAGATGTTTTAGCAATAAACTAAAAGCTCTATGTTAAAATACACATTTATGCTGTAGTTCAAAACTTCATTACTCCTGAGAGCTAAACATTGGATATTTTCATATACCGCATCAGTCCAATATTAAGTGTGGAGAAACACTAGTGCCATGTCAGTTTAATAAATAGAAACCAAAAGAAACCAAGCATATTTCTTGACAAAATAATTTATAAAGACATCTCCAAATTTTTAGTTCTAAACAGAATTATGGAAGACTTATCCCCAGAATAATTTGTGCTTCAGCAAACAAACATACAACATTGAAAGTGAAGTAAAAAAAACTTCTTCCTTCATAATATGCCCTAATATTTGAGTTTCCATTAGATGTCTAATTTAATCTCTTTGTGGATTTGCAAAGGAGAAAATTCATAGGCTAGATATGAGCCAAGAAGGGACTGCTATGTAAAACCCAAGAGCTCTTTGAACGAAGATATTATTAACAAATCAAAGCACTTGTAGCCTGCAAAAAAAACTCACTGTGTATTTTAGACAAAATTTAATACCAAGGATGAAAATTTGTTGGATGCATTCAAGTTAAATTTTTATTTTGTATCAGAAGTTGTGAATGTCTATTGTAGGAAGAGCAGGTTTAAGTATCAAAAAGCTGAAGTGGCTGCAAAACGAGGCCCATCTCTCTGTTCTCAAAATCTTTCCTAAATATTACTCTGGCTTACCAAAACAAAACAAAAAGGTCTCAGCTTTCTATTTTAATGTCAGAGAGAGAAAATCATGCTTGGGATACATGATACTTACTGGAGCTGCAGTATAATCAATATTTTTATCTTCTAAAAGTATTTAAAATATTTAAGATTGAAAGGCTGTCAAACAAACTAATTGTACAGGAAAATGCTGAAGTATTTAGAACTTTCCTCAGATGTGATACTGCAAGATGAAAATACTTTAAAAGTTTTTTTCAGTGAATCAATATGACTTTAATATATCTATAATTGAAATGAAATTATTAATATTTTTATTTTATTCTGTATTTGCAAGCATGAAATAATTACATATGCAAGGTCAGTGAGAGAAACAGAATGCAACTCTTCCTCTCACTTATATTCCTAAATATTTCACTAAGATGACCAATAAAGAGAGGAATCACAGTGTTGATTCCAGATACAATATAGAGGATACTATTATGGCAGTTTTTATTTTAATTAAAAGTAGCACCTATACATAAAACAGTAAAAGTAATACCAAAGAAATGCTTGTGCTCATATAATCTTACCTCCTTTTGCATCTGCTTCTCAAAGCCAATTTCACCTTTCTAGTAAATAGGTCAACTGGTAAATACTAAATACATTAAAAAAAAAAAACTGGGGAAAAAAAATAAAAACCAAACTGTTGACGACTCTTATTTTTGACCTGTCCTGGCCCAAAGTGAATTAACTTTTTTTGGTGTTTTTTCAATACAAAAATAAAGCAGGCTCACACAAAAAACCCCAAAACCTAATCAAAACCCCAGTCTTGTTAGGATACCCACTTAAGATAAATTGTACAAATCTCACTTCAAACACATATCTCAGGTGACTGAGATAATAAATTTTGTATTCTACAAGCAAAATGCCTGTAGCTTTTGCCAGAAATTTTATCCCAGGGCTGGAAATGCTTCTTGATATATTTTTCATAAAAACAGGTATGACTCCACAAAAACTTCTAAATTTAAGAAGCGCTAATTTTATATATGTTTATATATATATATATATATATATATATCAAATTACTTTTTTAGTTTAGAAAATTTATCTACAGAATAGTAATGATGCTTGAACTTGCTTTGGTCCTATTGTACTCATTGCTATCAGAAATCTGTCTTAACCGAGGAAAAATAAAAGTAAAGAAAATATGCTTGTTTTTTTCCTCACCCTTGCTATAAACTCAAACCTAGAGCTGGAATTTGATATTCCACTGAAGAAGAGGGAAGGAGGGAGAAAAGGAGTCCACTTGAATGTGGACACAGAAAGAAGACATAAAAAGTTTCTAATTCTTTATTCTTGAAATCTAATCCTCTTGCATAAACTTGATTTACTTACATAACTTACCACTGCTCGAGCATCTTCTCGTTCTAGTATCTTCTGAGTCTGATCTGCTGGGAACTTCAGCACTGTTGTTATAACCTTGGCCATTGTCTAAAGAGATAGAGGTTATCCATATATAACTCCACATCCACAAATTCTCTGTAAAATTTTAAAATTAATCTAATTGAATAATACTGGATACTACTTTATTAATGTCAATGGAAAACAGTGAAATCAGTAAGATATAACTATTTGTTTCACACTGTAAATAAAGTGAATTGTATGAAAACAATGTTTGCACATGGTCACAAACTTCAGCTACTGTAGTGTGATGTAAGTTCTGTGGCATCTATGCTCAAATTACAGAGTCCATTAATAAGACAGCATACTAGATAAAATGCATGCCTAGAAAAAGCAATCTGTCAATCTTGTTGCAGATATCCTGCCAAGCAAGAGACAAATAATAAAGTTGGACTGGAAGGCAAGACAGTAAAACCTCCCAGCAAATACACATACAAACCTTGGTAAAGCAGTTTATGAAGAATGTGGTAAGTACCCACATTACAAGTCATTACACCAATTCTTGACTCTTAGATCCATATCAACCTCCACATTTCTCTTATGTCTCCAATACTGTAGATGAACTGGTGCATTCATTAATGTCTTGATTGCATTCCAGTATCATTTACTAGGATGCATAACTGGCAATATAGCCAGATTCTTTTGAACTCTGTTCAAAAAGAGGAAGCATGTCCAGAAATATCAACAATTCCACTACTGAATCACCTTTGAGACAAGGGATACATATTTGCACTAGTAAAGGGGACCATGCATAGAGAAGGGCCACCAAAATGACCTTACAAGACAGATTTAGATTTAAAAAATGCCTCTTCTTGTCCAGGAACAAAAAAGTTGAGAGAAAGGAATATCTGTACTGAGAAGATAAATTACAATGAAGATATTTTAACTTAGGAACTGTGTTGGGAGCAGTGGTGAAAGCACAGTAATAGTTTACAAGCATACTTAAAACTGTTTTAAAAAGTTCTATCATTCACATCATCACTGGTCAGAGTTTTCCAGTTCATGTAGCAGAATGAAAGCAGTTCTCAAGATATATCCATAGATTTATGGTTATATTATATAATCCTGAAGAGAGCCGACACTAAGCTCGGTGTCCTCCAGAAACACATCTAATGACTGAAAGGAAATGACTGAAAGGAAAAATCAATTTAATATAATTTCAGCATATGAAATCAAGAAGCCTACTGTCCAGGTTTTCACTAGTTTGAAGAGTGACTTAATAACATCTAAGGTATACAGATTTGGGAATACTATGAAACATCTGTAAGCAACTACTGAACAGGTATTTCACATCTTCAGCTGGTAACACAGCTACTAAAAAACTGTTATTTAATCCAACTGTAACTTACCATGTTTGTGTCAAGATTACATCAAAATATCACTTTTTCTAATATTCCGCATACCAGCTTTCATTTTACATCAAGTTTGACTGACAAATAGACTTTTGCTGATAAAAGTGTATCTACCATAATGAATTTTGTCTTGATAGTTACAGTGATGAGAGATGTGAAAATCCCCTCCACCTACCACTCATCGTAGCAGGCTGATGAATTTTTGAAGTTATAAATCATGTCTCTTTGGGAAAAAAATGTGAAAACCTATTGAGTTCTGTGTCAGAAATAAACAGCATATAACAAATCACAAACACATGGTACTTCACATCATACGGCAAGGGTGTTAAACTATACTCTAACCTGGATCACCTGTCAGCATATAGAAATTTCCATACCTTTGTCTCACGACCCATCATATATTCAAAGAGCACTTTCCTCAAGTATTCAATCTCAGTGGGTTCCTCAAACAGGGAAACATCATTATGGTGAAGGTTTCCATCTGTGTAAACAAAAAGAAGAGAATATTTATACCAAGAGTCACTCATCTGAATCCAAGTTTCACTAATGGCATGAAACCAAACAAGAACAAATGCTGTACTCTGCACCTTAGACGGAGTAACTGCAGCCCTTCAGAAAGGGGGTGGCAGGAGGTGTAACAGGAGTCACCAGTGTATGTGCCCTTGGCAGCCAAGAGGACTAACCTCACCTTGAAGTGCATCAAACACAGCATCATCAGTCAATCAAAAGAGGTGATTGTCCCATCCTGTTTAGCTCTGACACAGCCTCACCTTGAGTACTGCATGCTGTTCAGGGCCCCACCATTTAAAAAGGATATGAAGGTACATGAACACACCCAGAGGGTACCTCTACAACTGGATAAGGTGCTGACAGGCATGTCCTCTGAGAAGCAGCTGATGAGTCTGGGTTTGTCTAATTTGGAGAGATGGAGGCTAAGGAGTGACCTCAGTGCTCTCTATGGCTTCCTAAAGAGACACTGATAGGCAGGTTGCTCTCTCTTCTCCCTGATACTCCGTGCCAGGACACACGGAAAACAGCTGAAACCTTCATCTATCACAGGGAGTTCAGACTTAATGTGAGGAAACATTTCTTTAGCAAGAACTCTGGAATAGACCTCTTGGAGAGGTGGTTGATGCCTGTTTGTCAGTGTTGAAGAGGCATTTAGACAGTGCCCTTAAAGACATACTTTACCTTTTCATCAGCCCTGAAGTGATCACACAACTGGACTATGAAACTGATGTTGCTCCCTTCCAGCTAAAGTACGCTTCATGCTTCTCTCCCTACCAGTACATGCAGATTACATTCCTTCCCAGCCCTGCACTAGTAGAAGGCACTGAATAACCATCTCTCATCATTGGCTCAGTCACCTTGAGGGAAGGAGGCATGGACCTTCTGAGGGGATGAGAGATGTAGATCATCCTGAGATAATTTGACCATTTGCACGAATTGGCAAAAAAGCAAGTGTGACATAGTTTTTGAAAGTCTTCTGAGTTCATCTAGCTAAGATGGGTCTTCACAGGATGGCAAAACCCCACATCTCTAACGTTAGCAAGGCTCAGTGCTTGAGCCCTCTGTCTCATGCAGTACATACTCCTCAACTAAACAACTGCAAATCTTTTGGAGGTGAGCAATATGTGTTAATTTCCCTGTGCATTTTTCTATCTTACATTAAAGGAGCCTGAGAGGAACAGCATACAACCAGAGAGAAGGTCCGTAAGCCCCTACTCTATCTCCAAAGTGTCCAACCACCAGTGTCTAAAGGACAGTACATGAGCAGTTCAAGTCTACTTCTGCATGGGTCCTGGGACTGCTCACAGGCCTTGGGTGGCTGGGATCAGCCTCTCCTGGAACCCCCACATCTCCTGCCGAGGGTCCAAGGGATATGTCCCAGCTCAGCCTTCTTTCTCAACCTGAGCCCTGCTGTAGGTGTGCCCGTCTCTGCCCCTGTCTACTGGATGCTCTTGGGTCCTGTACTGCAGAGAGCTTAAGAATTCTAATAGAGAGCTCTTTTAACTGGCTGACATAAAAAAGAAAACATCTAACAAAACACTGCGTGTGATTTGCCCATCTGAAATCACACACCAACTCTATTATAACAGACAGAAAACAAGGATGTAATAAGTGCATTATGTAAGTGTTCTAAAAAGACTGATGTTTCATTTTCTACACCAAACTGTATCTTTCTAACAAACTAAAAGCTTATTTGTGATAAAAACTGTGTACTTACCTCTATACGGTGTTCCAACTGATGTGACATACATATTTTTCTCATAATGTTTCAGCTGGTCTTCCAGTACATTGATCTAAACAGAGAACAGTTGATATGATAAATGGTGTTAAAACTAACAGCAGCTAAAATAAGCATAACTGAAACAGTTTCCATATAATATCTTATAAAAGCAAAATATATTTGCTTTTTAAGGAAGGAAAACATTAGAAACTGTCTTATTAAAAGCTGTCCCAATGTTGTATATCTGTATATACACATAAAAATATATATAGCAGATGTTATGCATATATTATATATTCATGTTTCTATTTTTATATATAAGCATATCTTTTTAATAGATAAAAGAGCAAACAACAAAAATTACTTAATTTACTTAAACATCAAAAAGGTTTTGTTTTGAAAAAAAAATTCTAGAATTTCATAAAGTGCACTGTTCCTCCTCACTGTGCAATTCCTTTGCTAACCAGTATCACAAGCATGTGGTTTTTTATTCTCAGGGGATAGAAGAATACTTTGAAAAGTACACAAATCTTCTGAAAGCAAGTATGAATGAAAACTATTTTTTTGTCTATTATATTCATAGTACTTTGTATACAGATGTACCACATCATCCCTTGAAAATAACCAATGTTTTAATACTGCAAATAGTGAGTACCAAACAAGAATACTTCTTACTCATTCAACGTCACCCTTACCTGCTCTTTCAATTCCTGCTCCTTCAGTTTTGAATCATTGACTAGTGTTGTCTTCTGTGCAAGTTGTGCCTGAAAAGACAGTCACATATGAAAATTGCTGAAAATACATCATAGGTACACCTTTGCAATAAATCTATTTCTCCTTTTAACACACACAAACTTATAAGCAGTATTTCAGCTTTAAAACTGCTCTGCAACAAAAGTATTAGAAAGGAAAATCAGTAACATGTAAGACTTACCTTTAGTTCAGTTATTGTGACCTGTAACAAACAATAAAAATATAGATTAAAATGTATGAAAATCCTGATTATATCAAGCACTGGAGAAAGAAATATCAATAATCGAGTTCTGATACAGTATGTAATTGAGAATGACAAAAACTGAAATTACCCAATAGTAACAACTAGTCTCATAAATAGTTTAACTTATTTGTATTGACAGTATATAAAGCCAATATTTAACTTATCTCACTTGATTCTGTAGACAATCGTCATAAATACAACTTCAAGAACCTAGTGTTTCCAAATCTTCATGAAATGCATACTGGACATGAATAATAACTGAATGAATATGAAATACATCACAGGATGCCCTAACTACAATTAATACTATTCAGAATATTTTACATTTTGCCTTAATTATTCAAGTCACATTTAGAAATGTGAACATACACCTGAAAATAGCTTCAGATAAGACCTTCATGAGCTTTACATCTTGCAAAGATGTTTAAGAAGTACAGAAAAATGTCTTCGCTGAAATGTCTATCTTTCACTGTTTCAACTCTAAAGAAAATAATGCTTCAGTATAAGTATTTCAACATAAAGTAATTCATGTGTGAATTTTTTTTTAAGGTAGGCTTAGTATGTACTCACAGAATCACAGACTATTGTAAGCTGGAAGGGAGCCACAAGGAGCAGAGTCCAACTTTTAAAGTGAATGGCCCATGAAGGGATTAAACCTGAGACTCTGGCATAATTAGCATCATGCCTTTAACCAACTCAGCTGATCTCAGGGTCAATATTACTTTTGTTTTGTATTACTTGGAGACAAGGATGTCATACAGAAGTGTGTACACTTTGCATTAAATCCAGGTAGACAATGTCGGTTGCTCTGCCCCTGTTCACTAATGCTATAGGCCCATCAGAGAAGATCACCAAATTTGTTAGGTGCAATCTCCCCCTTGTAAGGCTATTTTGGCTGTTACCAGTCACCTCTTTTTTCTTTTTGTCCTATGTGCCTTTACATTGTTTCCAGTAGAATCTGCTCTATGATCTTGCCTAGCACAGAGGTGAGACTGATTGGTTTGTAGTTTCACTGATACTCTAGTTTTCCCTTTTTAAAAATGCGGGTTATATTTCCCTTTTTCCAGTCATCAGGGACTTGCCCAACTGACACAATGTTTCAAAAAATGATGGACAGTGGCTCAGCAACTTAATCTCTAGCTCCCTCAGGACCCACACATGAACCTCTTTGGGTCCCATGGATTTGTGCATATTCAGGTTATTTAGATGGTCTTGAACCTGATTTTATCCTACAGTGATGTGTTGGTTTTACTCGGCCTGGATTTTGATAGTGGTGGTGGCTACAGAGGTGGCTTCTCTGAGAAGCTGTTTCTACCATGTCCAGCAGAGCCAATCCCTGATGGCTTTGAAGATGGACATGCCAAGGCTGGGCCAATTAGAGATAATGGTAATGCCTCTATGATAACATATTTAAAAAATCAAAGCAAAGGGGTAGTGCATTTTAATTCCAGCCGGAGAAGAGGAGGAGGTGAGAACATGTGAGGGAAACAACAGGGAGACACCAAGGTCAGTGAAAAAGGAGGAGCAGGAGGTGCTCGAGGTGCCAGAGCCAGGATTCCTCTGCAGGCTGTGGTGAGACCATGGTGAAGCAGCTGTGCTCTGCAGCCCGTGGAAGTCCATGGGAGATGTAGAGATCTACCTGCACCCTATGGGGGAGATGCTCACACTGGAGTGAGTAGATGCCCTGGAGGAGGCTGTGATCCAGTGGGAGACACTGTGGAGAGAGGGAGGCTCCTGCTTCCAGGCTGGAGCACCCTGTCCTTGGAGGACAGCACCCTGTGGGAAAGTGACCTACACCACAGCAGTAGGTCCTTTTGGGAAGACTGCTCATGGGAGGGTTTCACATTGCAGCAGTTTTGGGAGAACAGCATGCTGCTCATGAGATTGGTACCAGGTTGGAGAAGTTCACAGAGATCTGTCTCCCATGGGAAGGGACCTCACAGAGAGCAGGAATGGACTCCTCTCCCTGAGCAGCAGAAGAAAACTTCAGGGATCAATTAACCAAAACCCTCGTCCCTTCTCCCTGTGCTGTTGTTGGGAAGGAGGGAGGGGCTAGGGGAAGAAAAGGTGGTTTTGGTGTTTTTAAGGGCTTATTTTACTTCTCATTATCCTCTTCTGATTTTGTTAGTAATAAATTCACTTTGTAAATCTAAGTTGAACCTGTTTCACCCTTGGAGTGTTTTCTCCTTGGTCCTCACCTCAACTCATGAAGCCTCCACTAAAAATTTCTTCTCCTATGACCAGCTGTGGCAGGGGAGGATGAGTGAGCAGCTTTAATGTCTGCCTTGCATTTGGCCAGTGTCAAACCATGACAAGTGAGCTCAGGGTCTTCATTCTCCCAGTCCCTGCATCTGCCTTTCTTGACTTGGGTGGCGTGGCTGAAGCACTTGACATTGAAGACAGAGGCACAGAAGTTGTTGAGAACCCCAGCCTCCTCTTTGCCCAGGGTAGCCAGGATTCCCATTTTCTTCCAAAAAGGGCCTGCATCATCCCTAGTCTTTCTTTTGTTTGCAACATATGCATAGAAGCCCTTCCTGTTTGCCTTAATTTCCCTGGCTACAACAATTCTAACTGGGCTTTGGCTTCCCTAACTTTGTCCCTAGCTTCCTGTACAATTTCCCCATATTACTCTCAGGCCACCTGTCCTTGTTTCCACTTCCTAAAAGTTTCTGGGTTTTTTTTTTTACTCTGAGTTTGCCCAGCAGGTCCTTATTCATCCAAGGTGGCCTTTTGGAATTTTTGTTTGATTTACTCCTTTTTGGGATGCATTGCTTCTGAGCTGAATACATGAAATACCATTGCCAGTACATAAATTTGCTATAACTATCATATTAGTAATCCAGAAGATGCATGTATAATACAATACTTAATGACTGCCTATATTTATAGCAGACTGCTATAACAAACTAGGAGTAAAACAGTTAACAAAGAAGTCCTAAAGAAAAAGTACTCTTCAGACTTTTCATAATCATGTTTTAGAAGTCAGGAGTCTCTTTAAGAATCTTCCTCTAGATAATAAGATTATGTAAGACTATCAGTAGGTGAACAAGGGTTAATTAAGAATACAAGGCAGTCTTAGATTTCTGCTTTTCCTGTTATGAAAACAAACCATAGAAAAGTAATATAAAGGGTTTTGTACGCAAGTGCAAAGCTGAAGTAACAAACACTAGGACAGTGAGATAATTTGTACTTTCAGGTTCTAATGTCAAATATATAAATTTACTCTCCCCAGGGCTACCTGTTGTAAAAATGAAAAAATTGAAAAGTAAGGTCAGTATGAATTCTCATCAATGACTCAACAACTCGTACACTTCTTCTCTCCTCAGAACAATAACAGTTAGTAGTATTTTCACCAAAGAATTCCTCAAATTAAAATGTAATCTCAGAAAGCCAAAAGAATGAAGGCAGTCTTCTTTCAATGAAGGCCTCTCTGTCCATAATTGATATATTCAAGGCACTACTTCAGACACCTCTGAAATGCTAATTTTTTAAAAAATCACTCTAAAAATGACTTAATGGGATCTTCTTTCCTTCTAAAGAGCTTCCAGTAAAACCAACATAAACACATGCAGAGGATAAAAAAACCCCACTTTAATAATAACAACAGAACTGAACTTTTCAACATACCAATTAAAAAGGTAGTACCAAATATTGCAGATTCTAAAGAGATTCATTTTGTATGTGAAAGTGAAGACCAGATACATAAATAAAGTCCAATTACGAATACACTACAGAATTTCCCATGGACCAAAAATTTCACACTTAGAGATATAAAAACAAATGTCAGTGCCAACTCACTTTTTCACTGTTGCAATGTTCTTCTTCAGCAATCCTTTGTTTGTATTCCTTCTGCAAGTCTTCCAGCTGTGCCTGCAACTCATGAACTTTTGCTGTCATCTCTTCTTCACGGGACTTCAAAACACAGGCAAAAATTACTTATACAATTAATCATTTAACTACTCAAAACTTAACTATGGTGGACATAAAGCAATCAATAAACGTTATACTATACACAGAAAAAAATATGCTTGATATTTGTGTAAAAGCTAGTTACACCAGACTCCTAGAGAAAAGACCAAGAAAAAGAACTGGTGCTTAACATGATTTTGTAGCTTTCAACAAGAAAGATTACATAGCTAGAATTACAGCTACATTTTTTTTAATTCCATAAAAGGCCTGTTTCTCTTGGGCACTAAAACAGCATTCAAGTATAATCCAGTAAGTGCATGATGGTCATGACCTTCATGGAAGGGGTAGATGACAACACAGAATTAATTCCTATATTATGGAAGTGACAAGGACCTAAATCCTTTCCTCAGCCACTCTCACAAAGATGCTATGAAAGCAGTTTTAAGCACATTTTCCAAAACAATGACCAACAATTTCCTGTTCTCAAGGGTTTTGAAGGCAGTATTCAGTGTAGAGGAAAGAAGCAGTAACAAGAATGGTAGAGAGGAAATTAACTCTTCCTGTAGAGGAGAAAATACCATTACCTAAATCCTAGGAAGTTAATCCATCTACATGGCACTTTGCAAAAACAAGTATTTTTTAAAATTGTGTCCCCTCTGGTCCTTTTATGAGAGAATATGTCAGGGACCTTATAAAACAACACTCCAATTCCTAGTGCATATCTCTGTTGCTGAACAAAACTAAAACTCTAGTTTTTCTCATGCTAACTGTACACGGCAGTCAGTCAGTTGATGGCTCTACTAACACAGTAGTACTTCAAATCAAATTAGTAAAATTAATTAATTGATAACAAGTCCAGAACTGCTGATGGAAAATTTGTTCTATTCAAAAATCTCAGGAGTACAAATTATAATGATACAGAATATTTTCTGGAAAAGTAAGTGTAGGACTAGAACGCTGATCTTGGCTTAAAAGACTTAGGGTATTCCATTACTAATAAAATAATTACTTCCCTCTAAGAACAATTTTTAAGGTGTTCCTTGCACATGAGTTATGAATGAAACACCTTCCCATGCAGCCCCTCAGTCCAGAATGCATCATCAACAAGAAATTAAGCAAATCTACCCACAAATAATGGGTATGATGCAGTATTTGAGCAACACTATGCAGTATCTGAGCAATTTTTACAGCCTCAAAGTTTAAAAAATATCCATGTTCAAGGAAAACCTTGCTCAAACATCATGACCTCCAAACAGTGTTAGCCTCTATTCACTCCCATGATTTATCTATGCCCTCAGAAGTGCATCAGTAATTAACAATTTCTAAAAAACCTTTTTTTTTTTTTAATACTATCCAGTTTAAAATTTCTCAATATCTGGCATATTAAGGGATAAGGATGGTTGTTGTTTTGGCTTTTGCAGATTTTTAAATTTTTTTGGTCCACTAAGAATTTAAAATTTTACAATTTGAAAACAACTGTTTCATTTAATAAACCACATTGAATACACTTCATTCTTAGTTATAAACGGTAGTTGAAAGGCTGAAAAGAAATTAAACTCAAAATGATGAATGACACTTTTGTAAAAGGGACATACCTGTGAGCAAATATTTGGATAAACCCTTGAAGAGAGATTATTATTTTTAATTTAAAATTATTAGTGATCAAGTGGGGTTCCAAAATGCTTCTGATCTGCATTTACAGTAAGAACTTATTGTTCTATATAGCATATGGCATACTCTGAAAATAAACAACATGCTGTTTGGATTTAATTACAGTTATAGACCAAGACTTCAAAAAAGTTATAGTTTCCCAAATCTTAATCAGAAAGCCTATCCTGTACTCTCATGGAAGGCATTACAACAAATGACACATAACGGAAGTTAGGTATTTTATTTTTAGCTCATAGTTAGACTTAAAATAAACTAGTTGGAAAACAGTGTTCAATTTTTCTCTAATGATATAATTTAGTTGAAGAAAAAATACTTAGCTCACTAATTAGAGGCTATGCCGATCTAAAAATACTTTAATTAGGGAGACTTTCATGAAATCTTATATAAGTTTTCATAAAATAAAACAACACATGAAGTAGAAGTGGAGCACTTCACAAGCAAATCATGTTAAGTTTAATAGATGGAATGATTCTTGCTTGTCTTTAAGGATAAATAAACCAAGTTAGAGAATTTTTAGCATAAACCACGTTTAAAATGCAACAGAGCAACAAAGTTATATGAACAAGATTCATTCTCGCAATTGGCTTTATTTTTGCTTCATCTTCTTACCATTTGAGACAAACTCCTCTGCACAATATGAAATTTATCAATATTTTAATTATCAATATTAAATTTATGAAATTTGTTTAGCCAAGTCAAGTATAAGTGAGGTGATAACTGGTAACTTTAGGCTAAATCTGGTGATGCATATGTTCCTATTTCTATTAGAGATGCCAGTGAACATGATACACATCAAATTAACATAACTATTTCTCAACTCTTGAGATGCTTACAATACTTCTTTCAGGGAAAAAAACACTCTAATTTTTTTTAATCCCCTAAAATAACAGAAATAAAAAACTCACACATATACCTATGAAAGACAGATATACAGAATACCCATGTATTCTGTAATTTAGAACATCAAGCTACAGTTTATTTCAGTTCCAGGTTAACTGTCATTGCCAATATCAATGAGATGCAAAAAAAGACAGTGTTCATGTCCTGCAAGTCATATAAGTCAAATTAGCCTAAACCCTCAAGATTGTACAATGACTACATCACACTTGTTTCTGACATTAAAGATGAAATGAGAAGAAAACACAGAGGAATTCCACCTGTATGATTCGAAATCACACACCTATCTGGGCCCATAAAGTAAAGACCTGAATGGCAACACACTACACACTGAGGTCAGAAAAATTTAAATCTTCCAGAAATGCAGAATTTAGACCCATATTATGAAAAAACCCCTACAAAACAAAAAAAAAAAAAAAAAACACCAACAAACAACCACATATACACACAAAAAAAACCCCAAAAAAACCACAAAAACAAAAAGCCCCCCCATAGCCCCCCCCAAAAAACAACCTTGTTTTTTTAATATCAATCAATTTTTCTAAATTAGGAAACAAAAGAAGGGGACTCTAAATGTAAAACCCTGCTAATGCTATTCATCCTGCTAGAACTTCAAAAATCAGAGTGAAACATACCAGTCTGCTTACATGTTTGAAATTTTTAGTATGAAGCACTCAGTAATGTTAAGTGCATAGATCTTTGGACTGGTAACTGATCACAAACAGTCCACTTACATCTATTACTACTGGCTGTATTCATGGAATAGTCTCTTTTATTACACTATTTGTGCAAAGAAGACTAAGATTAACAAGGTTAAAGCCTCCATTCCCATATGATGTACAGTCTAGTGCTGAAACCATTTAATGTTTCCAACATGTACAGACAGGACTGGGAAAATTTACTTGGCTAAAATAGGAGGCAACCTTGGAGACATATACTTAAATTGAAATTAGCTGGTAAATTCTGGTTGAAATACTGCTAGAGGAAAAGTATGTCTATCTGCAAATATCATGCAGAAAAGCTGTTCATTGCAAGCAAAAAAAAAAAAAATCTTTACTAGTATAAAAACTATGCAAACACGTTGCACCCTGCATGGAACAGAACCTTACTTTAAGGACTATGGCACTAATCTAAGCAGGCCATCAGAGGAAGGAGACAGAGACTGAGATTGCCCCATAAACACTCTACTTATAAAAAACAATACACCACCACCACCACAATTCTAGTAAAAGCTTAAATGTCACTCAGTTTTCTCATTCCAGTCTGGCACACAAATTGCTCAAGGATGTAAGGACTTGGCCATCTAATTTTTACTGAATGGTCAAAGTTAGGGCTTAATTTCTCATGTTCTTTCATGACCATAAACTACAGAAATAAATCTTTGAATTGAAAGCTAGGTCACCAGACATATCAAGTATAATTCAAGCAGTAAGATCTTTACTAGAAAGAACTACAATTTTTCTATCTAGATATGCAATCAAAAAAGACTAATTTGGAAATTTATGTATTCATAACACTTTTCAAAAAGGTACCTCAAGGATTTCTTCATATCTTTTCACAGTTCTTTTTAGATCATCATCTTTTTCAACAATTTTTTTATGCAACTGTGTTGTCTCTATGTGATGATTTTCTATCAGTTCGTTTTCTACCTCCTGGGCTTTACCTACAAAAAAAAAAAAAAAAAAATTAGGCAGTATTAAAAACACGTGGATTGGGTTTTTGGCTTTTTTTTTTTTTTAATTACATCATAACTGATAACAAGTCCAGAACTGAGGATGGAAATTTTTTTCTATTCAAAAATCTCAGGAGTACAAATTATGATACAGAATATTCTCTGGAAAAGTAAGTGTAGTATTTACTACACTTAAAAAATGCTTTAAAGTAACTATAAGGAAAACTTGCCAGGAAAATTCATTTTTCCACACTTTCAGTTACTATTATGGCCCTTGATCCTAACATGCACAAAATTTGTTGCCTGCAGTTTGGTATCTGGAGCAATTTTTTCTAGCTGGTGCTGGAACTAGTTTCTAGAAGATGACAACCAATATTTATTAACTAATTCTATTCTATCTAGAGATGTGACTGAAACTTTTGCAATCTTCAGAAACTCCTCACCTGTAGGTGTACTTCTAATAACTGGAATCAAACCACACCTTTTTCTCACTTTTCTAATCTCCAAGTTACACTACAGTGGCAAGACCAAGAAGATGAAATATGTTGTACTCTAGTTATAATCACATTGTGTTACAATCAGACATCATATCCAGTTGGTACCTGTTAGTGGTTAGTGAATGAAGTCCGCAAGATGCAGCTAAGAAAACACAATTCTGATTCTCAGATGTATCTAAGTTTCTCTAAAATGTAAGTCTCTCTCCAGGTGATAGAGATAAAAGATAGGTACCTATGGCTATCATGGACAACTCTTGCCATGACAGATGTAAAGAGTGCTAGATCAAAGATCCGTCCTGCAAAATAGCTATATATGCATTTTCCTAATTTTACCACAATTAATATTTAAGTTATTTCCTGAGCAAGACAAGCTCTTCCCCTAAGTTCTCTAAACATTCATAAAACACATGTTGTGTTTACCACAGTAAAAGGTAAAATTGCTCACCCAAAACAACAATAACTGAAGATTTAGTTCTCTGAATATTTTACTGATTGCAGTTATATTAATATTGCACTTACTGATTGTCTCTTTTACTGCTGTTTCAAATTCTCTCTCTTTTTGAGCCAGCTGAGTATTGAACTCTCTTATTAACTTCTTTAAGGTGGAGTTGTGCTTTAACTCAATGTCTTCTTGTTCACATCTGTACAAAAATGTCAAAACATACAGCAAGGAAATATAACATTTCAAGAGTGTGTGAAAACACAAGGCAAGGAAAGAGATCTGTGAATTTCTTGAAAACTATTTTATAATGGGATGGTTTTGAATTATATGAATTCTGAGAGATTCAGGGAGGCTTTATCTTCCTCTCCTATCTAATTCACCTGGTAGGCATAGGTGTTTCATTTAAAAACAACCCAGAATAAAACCCTTCCAAAGATATGGAGTTTTTGCTGAGGAAGTTGAAGAACTGGAAGAAAAGAATATGCCATAAAAAGAATTTTTTGAGAATTTTTAGGATTGCTTAAGAAACTATTAAAAGTGATAAGCAGTACAACGCATTTTCCGCAATACGTATGAACAATTATTGATATCAGCTGAACATGAAGCTCTCAGTACTAAGTTTTAATAAACTTTGTTTCCACTTTGAGAAAAATAGAATTATATTATATGCTTCAGCAATGTTGAAAATTACCATCACTGAAACATATCAGAAACAGTATTACTCTGCCAAATGTCAAATCTCTTTTCTTTCTGTTTCTCTAAGTCTATTTAGAACAACTAAAAAAAACATGAGTCATTATTTCCTTGTTGTACACTGAGCTTTAGAAAAGTATTCTTGAAGTTTTAGTGGCTAGAGATAAAATACAGAAATGGTAACACAGACAGGAATAAAGAATTTACCTGATTTTTTGCTCCATTTCCTCCAATGACTCCTTCTTTACTATGTCAAGCTCTTGCTGATGCTCCTTTCGCAGAGTACGTATGTCTTTTTGAAGATTATTCACCTCTTTGCGTAATTTCTGTTTCTCTCCTTCAGTCTCTTCCAGTTTAGTCTCTAAGTCTTTCTTCTGGTTCTGCATATCAACTAGTAAGTTCTGCAGCTCCAAAACAGATCTGGACTTTTCTTCAGCATTTTCCTCAAAAGTTTTCAGACTGTCATTTCTTTCACCCAACTGTTGCTGTAGACATTTTAGCTTTTCTTCATATCTTAAAGTCATATCTTCCATCTCAATCTTAAGCATTTCATTTTTCTTCACTACATTATTTTCTAACTCTTTTATCTTCAGTTCTAAAGATTGACTGATTGCCTCCTTTTCCTGCATTTTTTTTTGTAGGTCTTCAATTATATTCTCCATATCAAGATTTTTTTGTTCTTTAACTTTCAATTCTTCCCTACTGCTTGCTAAAACACTGCCACAACAAGCATGCTCATCTGCTAACAATGAATATTTTTTTGTTTGCTCCTCAAGTTCTTTCCTGAGACTTTTCGTCCTAACCTGCTCTTCGTGATGGCTCTTCTCAACACATTCTAGTTTTTTAAGGAGTTCTTTCTGTTTGTTTTGCAGTTCTAGATGACAGTCATTACTCTCACATTGTTCTTTCTCATACTTCTGTAATAATGCATCTTTTTCAGTTAAGCCCTTCTGTAACACCTGCATTTTTTCTTCGTATGCCTGTTGGACATTTTCAAGTAAGTTATTTTTTTCTTGTTCTACAGCAGCTTTTACACTCTCTACTTTTTCCAACATCTCCTTCTCTAATTCTGTGGAATCTCTTGTTGACTTAATTTTTTCTTCTAAGGATTCAATTTTGGCTTCTCTCTCCTGTACTTTCTGCTCCAACTTTCTTAACTGATCCTCCCTATCTTGCTTAAATTGCTGTTCCTTTTCATCCATCTGAGACAGTAATTGCTTTTTAACACAACGTATTTTTTGCTCTGCTTTCTTTTTCAGATCAGCCAGCTTAGTGCTGTTCTCTGCATTCAGTCTCTCTTCTAATTCTTTCAGTTCTTCCTCTTTCCTTTTAAGTATCACTGACTTCATTTGATCAAATTCCTTCTCCTTTGCTTCAAAATCAGCTTTCAGTGAACCTATCTGCTTCTCAAGATTAAGCACTTTTTCTTCAGCCTTCTTATATCTATTATCCTTTTCACAAGCCACCATCTCTGCCTGATGGAGTTGACAAGTTATTTCTTCTTTCTCTGTGTTTTTTTGTTCATTACACTTTTTAAGTTCCTCCAACAAGGAATCATTTTCTAATGTTTTCTGAGCAAGGTCTTTTTCTAGTTCAGCAATTTTTGCTGCTTGTTTTTCTAACTTTGAGGTTAACTCATTTTCTTCCTTTTCCCTCCTGTTTTGCTTTTGTTCCAATTCACTTTTTAAACAATCAAGATTCCTGTTTTGTTTAGCCAGCTGTTCCTTCAGTTTATTTAGCTCTTCATCTTTTTTATTGGCTTCAGTATTGCTTAATTCAAGTTTGCTCTGCAAATCTTTGATAGTGTCATGATTTTGTGTAAACCTGGTTTGCGCTTTCATCTTCCACTCTGACAGCTGGGCCGTGCAATGATCTATCTGATCAAGAGCTGATGCTTTTTCTTGACTCAGCATCTCAACTCTGGATGATAACGCTTCTACTTGATTTAACAACTGTAACCGATCCTCTTGATGTTGTTTGCTTAACAGAGATATGGCTGCTTCCTTCTCTGTTAAACTTACTGTGCTTTCAAGTCTAATATTAAGATCAGTAACTGTTTTGTTGAGAGCAGACACTTCACACTGTTTTTCCTGGAGTTCTTCCCTCATTGATGTGACAGCATTGATATTTTCAGATAACTCTTTCCTCAGCTGTGTTATGCAAGTTTCTTTCTCTGATGCTGCTTGCTGATGATATCCTCCCTCTTTCTGCAATTGTTCATTTTCTGTTACAAGTCGTGCGATGTCAGCTCTCAAGGACATAATTAAATTGTCCTTCTTCTGCAGTTCTTGCATTGACTTTTGCAAAGAAGTACTAACAGAAGAATGATGCTCTGTTATTTCTCTAAGTTGAGCTTCTAGTTCATTTATCTTACTTGTTTTGATTAATATTGCTTCTTTAACCTTTGCAGTTCGGCGCTCGCAGTCTGCAATTTTACATGTTATTATGCCAATTTTTCCACTACATTTTTCAATTAATTCATTGCCTTTAGTTTGCAATGAAGCTTCAGCATTCTTCCAAGCATCTAACTGGGCTGTAAGTTCTCCTGACAACCTTTTAAACTCTGTTTCTTTTAGCTGAATTGTTTCTAATTTTTTGTCATAATTTTCATGATCTTTATACTGAAAAGATTGCAGAGTTTGGAGTTTTTCTTCAACGGCTCTCAGTGTATCAGCCAGCTCAGTAATTCTGGCTTTGTCCTTCTCTTCAACTGCTTTCTGTTTACTGAGTTCTTCCTGAAGTCCTGTCTGCTGTTTCAGGGACTGTTTAAGATCACTTTCCAATTTTTTCAACTGTGTTTTCATATCACTTTCCTTATCTGACAAAGTATTCACTTTAGCCACTGACTGCCTTAGCTGTTCTTGCAATTCCTTCAGGCATTCCTCCATTTTCACTCGTTCTTCCTTCAGTTGTATTATTTCTGTTCTGGAGTCCTCCTTTTCAGCACTGAAGATTAAAAGCTTCTGTCTCAGGTCTCCAGCTTCCTGCTCTTTCTCTTGCAGTTCCATTGCATGTTGTTCCTTGAGCTCTTCAATCTGCTGATTAAGTTTCTTTTCCCAACACTGGATTACTTCTTCCAATTTCCTTATGTGGTCCTCAGCAAAACTGTCTAGTTGTTCTTCCTGATTAGATTCCAGTTTTGACACTGCATCATTGATTCCAGATGAGCTGGCATGCGCCATTTCAAAAATTTTAGTATGGAATTCACTCCACTTCTGACTGAATTCCAGCTGCTTGTTTTCAAGCTCTTTTTTTAGTTTAGCTTCCTGCTCAGCAAGTTTATTTTTGAAAGTTTCCTGTAAATCTTTTGATTTCTGTTTCATTTTCTCAACTTTCTTCTCCTGATATTTCAGTTTACTTTCATACTCTTCTTGTAAAGAACTAATTCTTTCCTCTGCAGCTAATAGTTTCTGTTTAAGCTCTTCCACTTGCTCGTTCTGTAACTTCTTCACATGCTCCATTTCATTTTCCTTCTCAGTCAGACTTCTCTTCATCTCATCAGCCTTTCTTTGTAGGTCCTTCAGTTGACATTCATATTGCTGTGTTAGAGTGGTTACTTTCTTCGTATCTTCAATGCTTTGCTCCTCTAGCTTTGCAGACACTTGGACAAGTTCAGCTTCAGATCTTTCTGCAGATTCCTTCATTTTCCGTTCATGTGCTCTTAACTCCTCCAAAAGTCTGTCCTTCTCCTCCAGTGACTGTTTGAGCTTGTTGAGTTCCTCTTTGAGTACCTTCTCAACACCTTGAATAGACATTTCATGCTCTTTTAACATTGTTTCAATTACTTTATTGTGCCGTTTCCTCTCTTCTTCCAACTTCCCTTTCAAGTCTTGCTTAGCTTCACACATTTTACTATTTAATTCTGAGAGCTCTTGCTCTAAATCTTGACGTATTTTTAATGCTTCTGATAGCTCAGAAGACAATGCTTCTAATTCCGTTTGTTTCACATCAAGTTTTTTTAATGTTTTTTCATTCATCTCTTCTATGTGTGCACAGAAAATTGTTTCTTTCTCTTCCAAAATGGTTTGTATCTCTTGTTGTTGTTTCTCTCTTATTTTTTCTATTTCAGTTATTTGTTGTTGCTTTAAAATTTCAAGTTTTTCTATCCAAAATTTTTCTTGTTGCTGTTTCACATTCTCCAGTTCTTTATTGTGCTTTTCAACCATATCATTTATCTCCTTACTGTGCTGGTTTTTTTCACACTCTAGAAGAGTATTTAATTCCTCTGACTGCCTTCTGTCATCTTGCAAATACTTTGCAAGAGAGCTTTCCAGTTCAAGAATCCTCTGTTAAAATACAGTTTTAAAAGAATATGAATATTCAAAAAGTAAAAATTTGATTAATTTTTTAAAAATCTTACCAGGTTCACATAACTATAGGTTACTTATTCCATTTTTTTTAGTGAATGTCAACTTCTTCAATAAGCCTTTCATTCATCTGGTTGGTTCTCACTTTTGCTTCCATTATGGAGAGTTAGCTAATTAATAAAAAACTCCCTATCTCACTGCAGTGCAAATAAACACAACATATTTAAAATAATGTAACTAATTCAAATAAAGTAAGTTGTGATATTTATGAGAGGTATGTTCACATTTTCTTCTTAAACTAAAGTACCAATATACAGGATGAAAAATATAGGGTATTTACAATAGTATTATGGAGTTTTGTACGCGCCTACTGATTTATCATAATTCTACCTGCCATGGAAATGCTGCTGCAAAGCTTTAATTGTTCTTCAGGCAAAACTTTGAAACAAGTATCTGGGAGTGGTAGAATAATGTACTTGCATTAGCAGAAAATACAGTCGTATTACATAAAGAGAAGGATACTTCAAAAATGTAAGCAAATCTTTTTGCTTACTGTGGTGGTGCACTCCCCCCTCCTCTCAGGCTGCACGGATACATGAGAAATGCTCCTTAGGCCTCAGCCTTGAAAAAACAGTACCTAGACTCAGCTCTTCCCAAGCTCATCAAAAAACCTGTCAATTCCCAGGAACTGCTGCTGTCTAACAAGCTCAGATTTTCCTTACGAATAGCACTGGGAACTATCTTTCTTGCTTGAATGGCATAATATCCCTGTTCTCACTTTCAAAGAAAGTGCCAACACAACTGTAACCAGGATGAAACATTGTTATGACTAAATCCCACTCTCTAGTGATCCTGCAAACAGCGGTTCAAAATGGGGCCCTTTGAGCTCTCTTGGACCACAGCAGACTGCACCCAGCAATCCCCCTCTAAGTAGGACACCTGTCAGAACTAGTGCACTCTCAAGATTTTTGTACTTGGAGGATCGACAAAAAAATTATAAATACTGGGCCAACATCCTCACTCCTCAAGGTTCAACCCTTCACTTGTTGGGGAGGTGCAAAGGCATCCGAAATGAGTACCCTTACCTTTGACGGGAATTTTTCACAGGCACCTTGCTGGCAAGCACCTAAGTCTTTATGTCTGTGTGCATGCCCATGAGCCTATGCTATAGCAAAGCTAGGAAAAATGCTGCTTTCTTAGATTTTTAAGCACCTTAGGTATCTATGTCAGTTAGACGTGTAGTATGGTTAAGTCACTGAGTTATAAACTAAGTGGAATGATGCTAAGTGTTTTGTTTGCGAAGTTGCTAATTTTAACTTATAGGTTAAATGCTGTTAAATGTTATTCCTCTCTTAAATTGTTAAGGTAAGGTTGTAAGTTGAATTAGGGATAAGTTAAGTGTTAATCCTTTGTTAGATTGTTAGGTTTAAGGTATAATTTAAGTTAAATTACTCTTAAGTTTGAGTGCTGTTAAACTTTTAGGCCGTATTTTCATCTGTGCTCTCACAGTTCTTTTGTCACACCCTAAACACACACCCACCCACCCACCCACATCCCCTAGACAGTTCTCAGTTCATTTCTGTTTCTGCCTGGATTTTGTTTGGTTTTGTAGTTGCTTGTTTTTCCTTAGTGTGCTTTAAATGCCCTCTAAGTAGCAGACTGAACCTTGACAACCAACTTTGTTGTGCTGTTCACCTACCTCACTTAATATTAAATCTGGTTTTCACTGATACCCTTACTGCTGATTTTTCTAAGTGATCTCAAACACTCATTTGTAACACTAAAGTATCCTTATAAACATTTGTAAGGTAGCAGTACCCAGAAATTAAACAGCCTGAAATTTAACTACTCTTTATAACATACCTAAAAATTAAATAAATGGGTATCAATTCATATCCCACACAATGCTATAAAGCAAATGTATTTCTATATTTTGCTGATGCCTTAACTTTTAGCTTTCTCATTTTTCAGATTCTGTGCTTCCTAGGTGTATAACCTGGAGGTTCATATTAAGTGTTAGTAAGCTCTCTTCACAGGGTAGGCAGACAAAACAATCCTTTTTCAGCTTGAGACCAAGGATGGCCATTACAAATTTCAGGCCCAAAAAGCATGAACAACATTGGATTGAAGAGAACAAGATGGATTTGACTTCATAATCTGAAGCGGGAATTGGAAAATTAACCCAAATATGCAAGTGGACCAAAACTTTAAAAAGTGTGAAACCTAGTGACCATTTTGGATCCATCTTGGGTGTAGCCCTGGCCAGGCTCTTGTACTGCCCAAGGTGTATCCTTTTAAGGCCTTTCAATAAATACCTACTTTATTCTCTTAGCTCTGATCAGCCTCTCAAGACATCATGTCACCTCATCTTAAAAAAAAATAGGGGCTGCAGAATAGCATGGCAATATATTAAACTTTTGTCACTTTAATCCCACAAAACCCAATCACAACAAATCACCATTTGTAAACTCATCACAGTTAAACACATACTTGTAAATGCTTAGTTTTTTGGAATCTTTACTCACAGTTCTACAAGTCTCTACTTCTTGATACATCTTCTCAAATTTCTTGTCACACTCAGACTGTATGGCTTTCTTCTGCAGCTCTAATTCTTCTAAAGCTAGGGATTCTTGCTGCTTTTGCTCTTGAAGGACTTTTGAGCACTCACTCTGACTTTTTTCCTGCATGAAGAAGTTCAACTAAGTAATAATTATAGTCATCACACCTTCAAGAACATTATGATAGGATTTTTTCAAGTCAGTAAATAGTAGTCATACATTAATCACCTTTATTTTCTACACAAAAACAAATGGAGTTTGTTTTCAATTTGTGAAAACGTAACTGCAGTAAATCACTTCTTTTTTTTTGGAAACCCCCTGTAATAGATGAGTAATGTGATGATTGACTCTCACAATTGACAAACAAATATCACATATATAGGTTAAGAAACGTTTTCTAGATTTATAGTTATGTTTTAACCCCTGTGTTGTTATCAAGGGACAGATGGGGTTGGGACATTTGGGAGGGTCGGCTTGTCACTGGTGACATCTGGCCTCCAATCAGGATTTGAGGAAGTAAACTCCACCAAGAAAGAGTTGATGGACAGAATTTTGGGAGGGGCTAAAGTGCTAAAAAGCCGAAACTTCCATTGTGTGGGTGAGCACATGGTGGGGAAAATCCTTTCCTCTCAGCGCCGTAACATTTTTTCTATTCAGTCTTCTGACACATCTTGTCTTCGCATGAAAAACATAATGCAATCAAGCCTTCTATTTTGGTTCATTTACCACTATTAATTGAGAATAACATCTGTGAGGAATTGTTAGGGGTTGAGTTTTGGTTTGGGTTTTTCTTTTACCTGTTCCTTCCTTGTTATTTGTGGAATATTGTTCCCGTTGAGTTGCTAATAAGCACTGATGAAAGGGGGAAACTCCTTTGGTTTTTTTGGGAGTTTTTTTTGTCTTTCTGGCTGGGGGAAGGAGCTGCACTCTCTTTCGGTTTCAGAGGAGGAGGGCCAGAGCCGCTGCTCTTGGGGAAAGAAATTCCACTGCTGCTGATTGAGCCTGGCCCAGAGCTGCTTCTTCAACCGTGAGGGTGAGTCTCTGCTCATGAGAACAACCACTGAACTGGGACTTTATTAACACCCACCTCAGTAAAAAAGAGAACTATCACTATCTGCCCAGGTACCCGGGATCCTGAGCTCGGCTCTCCCTGCCCTGCTGGGAGCCCCTCACCCCTTGCCTGCTGAGCTATCCTGCTGGCCCAGTTTGCTGCTTTCTGAGAGTCCTGCTAGCACAGAACTGGCTGTCCCAGCCAGCTTTGTGGAGCAAAGCCTCTCTGCCACTCCTTCCCATCTTCGGACAAAAGCCACCATTGCCACATGCTCACCGAGCCCATGCCACAGCGCCCCCTGCAGCCACGGGGGCATCATCGCACCTGCCCTGCCCACCGGGAGCCACCAGCGCCCCTGCCGGCTGTGACCGAAACTGCACCCAAGGGGAAAGCGCCACAGCCAAAAGGCTGTCACTGGGTTCTGGGCTGTGTTTGTTGTTAATGCTGTAGTTGTTGTTATTTGTTTGCTTTATTATATGTACTAGTAAAGAACTGTTATTCCTATTCCCATATCTTTGCCTGAGAGCCCCTTAATTTCACAATTCTAAAAGTTCAGAGGGAGGAGGTTTACATTGTGCATTCCAAGGGAGGATTTTTCTGCCTTCCCTAGCAGACACCTGTCTTGTAAAGCAAGACAGGAATAATGTCTGTTCACACTTGCTTCCACTGCTAAGATATTTTTAAGCTTGTTTCTTACAATTAAGGAAGTAACCTGTGAAACAGGTAGAAGAATATACTCAGGACAAGGTTGACAAAGTCTCTCAATCCTAGTCACTATCCACCACGGAGGAGCACAAAAACCAATCCACTATTTGTAACAGATATACATAGACTATATATATACATATCTGTTACATATATATCAAATATTTAGGCAAAATTACATGATTATCTATAGTGGATTGATTACAGTTCATGAAAAAGTGCAAAGAATTCCAAGAATTCTTCTCAGTCTGATTTTGAAGAAAATTCTTCTTCTATGTCAAACACTATGAATAGTTAACCCTGTTCACATAACACAATATAACCAGACATAACTACACAAACACTTTTCAAACAGCCTCATTTTTTGTATTTCTTTTACTTTAGCTCCTGGGCCTGATTGCCGATGATCCACAGATAGATATTAAAAAAGCAAGTCTAAAAAAATTTCAAAAAAATAAATAGCTTCCACAAGATACAGCTGTTACCGAGTACTGATAGTGATAAGTTATCATTACTCAGTCTGGATCATTGCAGCTGCTTTCTTTTCATGTTGCTGAAACCTCTGAGCTATTTGACTTTTGGAAAGCACTTCTATCTTTGAGCACAGGAGGACTCTCACTGTGGAATAGTCTCAGCTCAAGACTTCTAATCCAGAGAAATGGCTTTTTATGCATTTTAGGTTTACTTACAAGAGCTGCCTTCATCTTCTCCTGGAATACCTTTTCTTGAGCCTGTAATCTCTCATTTAGCTCCTGATCTTTGGCATCTAGTTCTTTTTTATGTATTTTTTCTAGTTCAGCAACTCGTTCCTCTGAAGATTTCTGTGAATCAAAGTCAGAAAAAACTAATTTCAAAATATTAACTAACAAAATACTTTCAATTTTTTCTTAATAACAAAATAGTGCAACAGACAAAAGAAACCAGAACCATCTCTTTGCTTCCTTTGAATAAATTATGATCACTTGGGCTACTTAATATTAAGCCCTGACAGTTCTTACTTTCAAGCTTTCGGTTATCCATCTTCCTTCTCAAGGCTTTCATAGTTGTACTAAAGGAAACACCACATTTTCTAAAGAATCTTCTTCCAAGGCAAACTTGATGTTTTCAGTTCAAACATGATAATACATTGAAAAATGAACTTTTTTGGTAGCTTTTATTTTATGAGCCAGAAAGTCAGGTGGTAATACTCTATGTAGACAGTTATCTACAACCTACATACGTGCTTTATTTAAGAATAATGTAAAGCACATCACTGGTCCCCTTAAAGCATCAGTGTATTCTCTTGGAAAAATTAATACCATTATGAATGTAATTACAAGAACTATAACTTAAGCGTGTTCAAATTTACAGCTTTACAAGGCATGTGAAGTATTTCACCAATTCCTATATAAATACACCAGATAAAGCAAATTATTTTAACCTGCAAACAATATGGTAACAAGTTATTAAACATTTACACAGACTCAGCTAGGATAATGATTAAAAGCTAAAAAGTGATTAAAACCCAAGATCCTGGTGGAGGTGTGTGAGCTTCCTGCCATTAATATCTTCTTGTCTCTGTTTAAAGTCTCAAGTATACTTCTAATAATTAATTTTATTAAATACTGTGAAGCAAAGAATACTACTATTTATTTTTACATGCCATTAATTAACTACTTTAAATTGCAGAAGAAAAAAATCTATGAAGAGGTTTCTATTTTTTGTTAAGTAAATATTTAATCACAGGAAGTAATTTTTATGGGTTTTATTAAATAGCAAAAGATTTATAACAGAGTTCTGTCAAATTGATATATTTTAAAACAATGGATTAACTGTAATAAAATTTTTACCTTCATAATCTCAACCACCTCTTGTTTCACTCTGGTTAATTCCCGCTGAAGATTTACTCTCTCTTCCTCACTTGCCTTTTCTACTGCTTTAATTTTTTCATCCATTTCTATTTGCAGTTTTTTCCGGGCTTCCTCTGTCTTTTGGGCAATACTTACAGCCTTCTCAAGCTCTTCAAAAGCTGCGAAGAAAAAAAATTGTATATGATAATTGAGAAATAGCTATATATTTTGATAGAAGAATTTCACAAAAAAAGAACAAACTTAGGAATTCACATGTTTATTTTCTGGAAAGGAAAGAGAACGGACAAACAGATGTGAATTTCTTCCAATACATTCTGTAGCTTCTATTTCTTTGCCTAAAATCACTATAAAATGCATAAACCATATTAATGAATGTACTATAACACTCCTCTTCTGCCTATACCTCCTGAGTAAACTTTGAGGATGTGGAAAATAGCTGCACAAAGAAAAGTAATTCACACTAAAACAGACAGAAACTAACCAAGAATGACTACTATGCAAGTCAGTTATTAGTGGGTCATGAAGTTTCTCCTGAATAGAACACTAATGTATAATATCAGGCACTTTATATACATAAGAATAATTCCAAACTGTAAAACCTAGAGAATAGTTTCTTTAAATTGTTTTTCAAAGAGCCCACAGAGATGGCTTTGTTAATTTCATTATCTCACCATTTACATTTAATGCACACTTCCATCAGTAGCTGACTGTCTGGCACTTGTAACTTCACAAATAAAATGTAAAAATAAAAAAAAATAAAAGTTAAGATTTGCTCCCAGAAAACTTGAATAGCTCTAAGTTGTTTCAAAAGAACATTCAAGCTGCATTGTTGAGATTTATTCACTCTTGCACAGAATGCACAAATTCACTGAAACACATTTTAATTTACAAAATAGAAGCAATAATTCCACAGCTTTATCTCATGTTAAGGATAAGTATTCTAACATGCTTTGTTCATTTCACAGATTATCATTTAGATATAAAAAGAAAGCAAAGAAATTCCATTATTGTGAGCTCATTTATTTATTCAATACCACTAAAGCTCACTACAACTGATGTCAGAGTCCATACAGAATTACACAAGACTAGAGTTCAATCATTATTAAGAAAATCTCTTTCCTGAGTGGATCATGAATGTGGAAAACTGTGGAAGACAGTAAACCGTCTGGGGAAAAGCTTACCATGATCCCCTGGAGGGACAACCCTTAAGCAACAACCTCCTGGTCATGGCAAGAAAAAATGCTTCCCCCAGAATGCATTGTTGCCGTATGTTGATTCTATTTTAATCCCATTGGGCCTTCTCTTTTGTTCCACCCCTGTACCCTCATCTCATTCGTTCTGATGTTTTGCCCCGCCCCTCGCTATCTCTGTATAAAGCCCTGCTCTCTCCGCCTAAAAGAGTTCTTTGTCGCTGTACCCCTTCAAGCTAGGAGCCCAATAAAGACGCTCCATGTAACCCCATATGAAGACTCCGTCCCTTCCTTCTGCGTCGCTCATGGCTGAAATCACCTGAGAGCAAAAATCACATGGCAAGAGCAAGATGTGCCTGTGCACCCAGGACGTCTTTTTAAAGACACTTCTCTGGGAAGGTTGTGGCACTCCACGACCTCCACCTGCCACAACAGAAAATCCCTAGAGCATATTATAAAAATTCCGTCTCAGAACATCCTACTATATGGTTAGTACTTTGCATAGCAGAATTTTGGCAAAACACATCTGTAAAATCCAAAAACACAGTACCAATATCAAGACTGTAATTTATCAGAGCACAGCCTCCTAGAAGTATATTATTCTATTATACCCTGGACTACCTGGACTCTACTTTTCAAGGAAACAGAAAAAAATAACTTCTGAAGTGTTATTTCGTATGCTAAACTTTCTTCCAATAAATTCTGCCCCAAAAGAAAATGATAATAGTCTTTCACATCTCTAGTTTTATTGATTCATCATTAGTTAGTAGGCATTCACAGCAGTAATTGCAATCTTTGCTTTTTTTGAAATTATCTTTAATAACACTGAAACATGCATATTCAAGAAGTGAACAATAATTCCATTCTACATCTTTTGACATTAAAAACTGAAGATTTTAATCACAGTCTATACTTTTGAGGCAGTGCTGCAAATAACAAGTAACTTAATTCCATAAAACTGGATTCACCCAAATTCTGACCTTCTACGGAATTTTCTTGTTTTTTGAGGAAGACTTTTTCTGACTATTCACAGCAACAATCATGTTTTAAGGCAAAACGGGGCTGTTATTGACTTTGGCAATTAATGGAGTTACCAATATCGGGAACAGGACATGCCCTGGCTTGTCTGGCCCCTGCTGCTGGAGCAAATGGCAGCAGATGTGGTGTTTCACCCCAGAGACATCTTTGGCTAGCTGGATGTTGCAGCTGGGCGCATGGAGACAAGCCCAGACATGGCGGAGCTCAGGTGGTGGCGGGATGAAGCTCCCTCTCGGAGAGGTTCCACTCCTCAGGTTTTCCGCTATCGTAGAATCCTTTAAGGCTATGGTGAAGGAAAGGAGTCGGTTCTGATGGAAGGTTTAATCCAGAGTTTTTATTCTGGCCCACAGGCCTCTGAATGTAGCAGCAGCTCCAAGAAGAACTCCCCTGCAGGCCTCTGAATCCAATCAGCTCAAATCAATCCAATCTAATCCATCAGAACCACCCCCCACCCCCCGGATGGCGTGGTTCCCCTCTCTTTTACCTGGGGGAGGGGAGGGGAAAAGGGATAGGGAGCCCACCAACCACACACGACAGAGGAGGTCTCAAGGGACAAAGGACACCTGGATGGCCCAATACCCCCCTGGGGATGGAGGGCATCTTTTGAATCTGCCCAATCGCTCAACACACTTCTGGAATGCCAGGAGTGACAGACAGTGCTGGCAGGGGTCAGGGTAGGGAAAGGAGAAGTGATTGACACACCTGGGAGGACAACTTCAGGGGGGAAAACCAGTTGTCTGGGGAAACCATGAAATCACAACGCAACAGGCAATACCAAAGCAGACCATTGTACCCACTTTTCAACTTCTGGTTCTGCTTAAATGCTAAAACTGTTAAAAAAATTAAGATCACTAGAGATTTTTTCAAGCAGAAACAGTCTAAAATGTAATACAAGCATGCACAAGGCTTATAGCTCCTTATTTTGCACAGTTCTTCACAGCCCTATAAAGGCATTTTGCCACCTGCCAGCTACAGGACTCAAGTTCTCCCCTACTGCAACACCAACCAGGCTCAAGTTGATTATGAATACTGCAAATAATGCAAAACTGTGTTTGGAGAATGGTAATGACTTCCCTGATGCTTCTCTCAGTCCTAACAAAAGCACGCCAAGCAAAACTGGCAAAGTCCTTCAGTATTACAACATCATCTTTTTTCAAAATCAAACAAAAAAACAACCAAACAAGCAAAGAGAAATATAAAACATCCACCCCACCCTACTGACCTTTGCAAAGTATAGCTTGAAACTAAAGCCTGCAAGTAGAACACTAGGTTATTTCACTTTTCCATACACACATTCTGATTCTTGTTCTGAGCATCATGTATGTTATTTTCAATTGAGAAAACATTATTTTCATTTGTATTCTCTTTCCCTCTGCAAAAGGAAAGACAATACATTTGCCATAGCCCACAGATCAGCCAAAGAGAAGATCCAGGTTCACAATAGGACTGATTACTGACATTAATTGCTGAGAAACATGCAGTACAAAAGCTGCATCACCATAATGCTAATACAAAAACTAGACAAAAGCTGATGGTTAAAAGCCAAGCACAAAGAAGCAATACTTCACAGAAATGCAATTAGGTCTCTAAAAGTTAAATTATATGCATCTCAGTCACATTAAGCCCTTAAGCAAAACAGAATATTTTCATTCAAAGTAGTTAATTCTAGTGCAGCTGGATGCAACCAAGTTTCAAACCAGCAGAGGGCTAAAGTACCATCAAGTAGACAGATTGGGGTCTCTATTATCACTGTTACTTTTAATGTGTGAGAGATTTTAATTCTCTGTATCAAAACATGAAATAAAGTCCATGTTTTTATTTAAATATACCTACTCTAAATGTAGAGAGTAAAGGCACTGCCTCTGCATTCTTCTCCAGCCTGCAGAACTTTGTTCAGGGAAGATCTTTCAACCAAGTATTGGTTGAATGAAGTCTCACAAAGGCACATTAGCAAATCAGAAATAGAAACAAGCACACCAACAAAGTCTCAGGTTCATTTTGCAAAACCACATTCATGTAACAAAGCCAGACAAATTGAAAACCTTCCTCTGCAGTATGTAAATCACAAAAAATTAGACTGAGTTTAAGGAGTGCAAGGTTTGCAATCCTGGTTTTTATACAACTTATGCTGGATAGTTGACTACTTTACCTACACCACTCCAAAGTACCAGTCTCTGCTCCCTTCACATTGCCCCTCCCACACAGAGTAACACTTTGCACGGCAGACTTCTAGTTTCCTCTGCTGGCACTGCATACCTTTTCTCTTTGCCTAGAGTGCCTCCTAGTGCTAAACATCATGAAGGAAGCAACCCAGCTTTGTAAGCCAGCTGGCAAAAGAGGGATTCACGTTCAATTTCTGAGGGCTGAGAGCAGGTGTCATGTCCAAATTTCAAAACAAAAGGTTGAAATAATTCCTATAGCTAATTTGTTCATCTAGGCAGAACTTTAAATGCACAGTGCAAGTGTTTTTTTTTTCACTGAAGCTTGCTAAAGAAATGGTGCCTACAAATAGGATTTGCTTTCTGAAGACTTTGTTTGCTCATAGACTATTAGTAAGTCAGTAATCTGCATCCTGAAAAGTCATAAATCATTTATGACTTTTCTCAAGAGAAAAAAATTTAAGTTTAGCTGGAAATTTACAAATACTAAAAAGATCTTTGTTGAAGAAAAAAAAGAAATGTGTTGCAGTTACCTCAAGTAGAAGTGCCCGAGAAGCAAAGAATTTACTTTTTAGAACCCAGTTCAAGCACTCAATGTGTGATGTAAAAAAAAAGCGCCCTTACCCCAGTCCTGTTCATACAAGGCTTGGGAAAGGCACACTAATTCATTTACTGGCATGTGTGGATGCACAAAAACAAGATGCTCTGTGAGATTTCAACATAAGGCTCCTCTAACTACAAAAAGAAAAATAACTTATCTGGGGAGACCAAATTACAGTTTACACTGTTTTGTACACAACGTAAAAATAAGCATACATATCTTTTCACTATTTTATTACACAAAAATGCATTCACATTAAATTAAACACTGGAGCAATTCACCGAAGTCATGACTTACAAAGAAAAAGGACAGAGATGTAATAGTAGGCAAGATGGCATGGAAAACTATACCACTTTTTAGTCTCCAAGCAGCACTACAAAAGTAAATTTCAAGAGTATTATGCTTATCCTTATTTTACTGTAACATAAATGAAATTAATATTTCTACTTCATTCCAAGAATTCAGTACTTCACTAAACCATGATATAGAAAAAGATGTCTAGAATTTAACAGTCTAGATGCAGTTCTGTGCCATGTGGTCTATGATAACCCTAGCAGAGCAGGGAGGTTGGACCAGATGATACACTGTGGTCCATTCCAACCTTACCAATTCTGTGGTTCTGAGAAAGTCACCTCGCATTAACTATCCAAAAACCAGAACTTTAAATGTTGACCTTAAACATATGAAATTGTCCAATTCATAAAACCATTACAACTTAAAGGTTGAGGCTTAAAAAGCAATTTCAGGCACTCCTGGTATGCAAGGTGGTTTTCTCAAATAATTTAGTTCAACTGCATTGAACCATACTAACACTGTAGATTGCAATATTTTTGGAATGTACTAAGCCAAGGATGTAATAGAAAAATCTAATAAAGATCACCTTACAATTCTGTCTTAAAAGCAGTGCTAGCTAATTTTCCAAGGGTTCCAACACACATATATGCATGCTTAAAAGACTATAATAAATAAATGCACTCAAAGGTAAAGTTGATACTTATGCACTGTAAAATCAACCAAAGCACTTACAGTTTTTGTTTAAAAAAGAGCAATTTAACACGCAAATCTCCCCCTAGAAAAGTGTAGTGTATTCAACACAAGATTAATTCAAACTAAATTACTTCTCATTACAACAGAAAGTTTTTCAGTAGTCTACACAATCATCTCTAACCTGACTTCAGCTTCTGGCCAGGCAAACTTGAAGAAATTACTGTATTAATTAGTGTGTGTGGATAGTACATTTATAATTCATAATTGTTTCTCCTTCCTCAAGAAACACTATTGCATACAGCTATGATAATAACTTCATATCTACAGAAATATTAAGAAATTCTTCACCTTCTTTTTTTTAATCATAAAGAGCTTCCTAGTCTCCCAGTATCAAACAAAATAAAACTTTAGTAGGACTGACTGACTTCTGAAGTATGAATTTCCAAAACTAAAAGGACACATGCAACCTTGAAAGGGTAGGAGAGGAAGGCACCTAATGAAAATGTTACTTTCAAAAGATGGATGTTCCAGCTGGTTTTCTGCATTACAGCAGAATGATCTATCCAAATTGATCTTTAAAATTGCAAGTTCTAATCTAAATCTATATAGATATTAAATAATCCACTATGAACTGCATTGTTTGAACTCTTCATTGCTTTTTAGAGAAAGAAAATACGTATATTTTATTCAAAGTAACACCTGAGCTTTTGCCAAAAAGTGAGTTTCTTTACATGCCCACGAGAGCAAATTAAATTATTCTAAAAGAATTCTTATGTAGTACAAAACAATTTCACTGTTTAAAAAACAATGGCTTAACTTTATTTCATGCAATAGTAGAACTCTAAGCACACATAATGTTACCTACTTTCCATAAAAAGCAAACTACATCATATAACAGTTACATAACTGTTCCTCTGTTACAAGCCTGAGGCAAAAAGAACCATCACTGCTGTTTCACTTAAATCAGAAATGCTTCCATTAAAATAATTGAAAGAAAATGTTTACTATGGTTATAACATTTTTACTTCTTCACAAACTCTTACACACTCACTGCTGTGTTTTCTATGTGAATCCCTGATGGCATTATAATGACAATTTATAGGTAGTTGCAAGGTTCTCTTCTTAAATTAGACCAGAAGAAGACTGTATCAATTTTTTCTCATACAAACAAGGAAGAACAGTTGCCTTTTGGAAGTTTCTTTCCTAAATCAGTTTTATTGGTAACATACGTATCAGTCAAAAGCATCCCTAAACTCTGCTCTCCAGAAGTGAAGTTAGCAATGATGGCACAGGTGACATGTAGAACAACAGAAAAAAGAGCATCTCTTAATAACCATTCCAAACAACAACTGTAGAAAAAGACCACACTGAAGCTTTCTGATGTTCAAATGTGAAAGCAAATAATCTAGGTATATTCTTACCAGCTCTTTCAGATTTTTCTTTCTGCTCTTTTAATTCCTCGCCTTTTGTAGTTATTTGTTTGATTCGAGCACGCAGTTGGGCTACCTCCTCCTCCTTCATTTCCAGTGTTTCATGCATTTGCCGCTTTGTCTCTGCAATTACCATGCCCTGTGGAAAAGGTCTTTGTGATAAAAAGCTAGCAAATAAATAGGACATATACCTGAAACAATTTCAAGCCAGGGCACAATCCTTGCCAAGAATAAACTGCAGTCTCTTATTACAAGACCAGAGATCATAAGATTTTTCTATGTCAAAAAACAGAAAATGTTAACAAAAAGAAGATAAGAATAGCAATTATTTTTAAGAGTATCCAAAATTTATCTAGTGGTGAAAAGAACTCCAGCAAACAAAGACCACCCAAAAACTTCCTACTTCTGGTACAGAAACTTTCCTTTGAAACATGGAATTTGCAAACAAACCCAAACTAAAAGCATTGTAGAGTCTGTAATTCTCCTTTGGGAATACACCATACAATATTAGTCATGTCACTTATGACACCACCAGAAGTTACTCCAGGTAACAAGACTATGATTAAAAAAACTTCTAAGAAGCAAAAAACTGAGAACTCTTTATTGTCTATCAAAAAAGTTACTTTACTTTACTGGTATTACTTTTAAATTAATTTAATTGTATCTCATCTTCATTTGTGTTTGGGGTTTCTTTGTTTGTTTTAGAATTGGCATCAAGGAGTGTATTCAGGATATCTGCTTCATCCTAAATAATATCACGTTTCAGTGTTAAGTATAACTTAACAGACATATCTTATGGTATATATACAATAAAATTCTTAAGTAGCTTAAATTACTTGTTTATTAAAACATAGAGTAAATCATCAGACTACTAAAAGCAGCTTCTAATACCAAAAGCTAGATATTTTGTGTTTTAAACAATCTCCATCAAAACCTACAGCTTTGTTTACCTTGTCTTGTTCTAGCTGCTCAATCAAATTCTTTGCATCACGTAGCTGTGTAATCAGTTTAGTCTTCTCAGCCATGTGAAGGTCCTAAAAAAAGATCCCAACCACAAGTTGGTTGACAAACAGCTTCACTTTGGCTCTGACCCTGCACTATGCCTTGGAGGAAGAACATAGGACACAATCAAGGGAAACTGAAGTGGGCAGTTTTAAATTACTTTTACATCTCCCAGAGTAGGCTGCCTTATGGCTTCTGTAATAATTCAGAGATCTGAAGGTTTTTTTAGAGCCTCCACACATGGAGGTCTGAGTTGGTAAAGTAAAACAAGAAATACGTCTAAGATTTCTGCTGTATTACCTGCACCTTGATCTCTTGAGATCCTGCCAAGAAGATCTCAGCAATGCAACATAAATTATTGTTACTAGCCATATTTTAGAAAATGTCATTAAAATACTCAAGTCTTTCAGAGATTTTTCAAACCAGACTAGTGCTCAGAGATGAAGACAGAGATGGGAATCTGATCTCTGTAACTAAAGTTAAGTACAGCTATACTTAGCACATTTTCAGATTTCATTACTATTAGCCACCTTACTTACGCTCCACACTCAGCATTAATGGCCTTAAAAGGAAAACTGAGCAATGTATTAATTTATTAGCTTTGGGATTGCACTTATGGTCACTATATTGTGATCTCCACTGCCCTGCCTTCCTTTTTTTTTTTCTGTTAATTTACATAATTAATGCCTCATTCACTATGTCTTAAAGATTTAGCTCTGCTCCACTTTTCTCACTTTACCTTCTGTCTTCTGTGTTAAGAGTCCTTTTCTCACCCCAATTTCCCACAACTACTTATTTCTAATACCATTCTGATGCTTATTTATACAGTAAGTTTTCATACCCTGCTTCACCACTCTAGAATAATTGCTGAGTGTATTCATTCAAGGTCAGTTTTGAACCTTTTTCTCCAAAAAAGTACAGGGATAGTTTGTTTCATGGTCTGCTCTAGCAATAAATTTTGGAAATACTGGAGTTCTTACTGTATTTTCATGGTTACTCATAAAGCTAAGAGCATTTTCCATACCTTCATTTTTTCCAGCTCCTGAAGCCTCTCTTCCAGCTGTTCTTGAAGTGCCTCTTTCTCATTGGTTAATTGGGCACAGCGCTCCTTATGTGACCGAATAGTCGCCTTACAACGTTGCAGCAAGTTCTCTTGGCGCTTCACCCTCTGATTAAGAGTTTCCAGTGTTTTAACAGAATCTTCATCACCCTCTATAAGACAACATACCAACATTACTATATGCATGCCATTTCCAAAATGCAGATCTGCATTCATCATGCACAATGCAGTGGGCTCACAGGTCTCTAAAGAAAATTGGGTGAAGTCTACAAAACTTCCTAGTTCCTCCTGTAAGTGCCAGAAACATTCTACACATACACATGTAAAGAGTATTTAACACCAAGTTAACTTACTAAACCCCAATTACTTTATCAGCTTCAAAATGAAGCTATTCATCAACAAGGTTTTTTACGTAATTAAAAAGTCATCATGATTTATAAACCTGCCTGCTGCTACTAACAGAATATGCAAAACTAGTGAAAAATGTGACGTAAAGCAAATCACAACTCTCAAGTGCCATGCACACAGATTCTTGCTTTCCCAAGGCCGGGCATGACATTAGTTCTCAAATACCCAGGTTGGCAATATTACGTTCAGCAGGATAAAGGTTATACTTAGTGTCTTTCTGAGTAGTACTCATAGAATCATAGACTGGTTGGAAGGGATCTTAAAAGATCATCTAGCTCCAATCTCTGCCACAGGCCGGAACACCTCACAGAACAAGTTGCTCAGAACTCCATCCAGCCTGGCCTTTAACATTTCAAAGGATGGGGCAGCCACTGCTTCTCTGGGCAACATGTTCCAGGGCCTTGACACCCTCATAGTAAAGAATTTTTCCTAATATCTATAATTTAAACCTACTCCCTCTCAGTTTGAATCACTGTATTACTAGCACATTTGGTAGTATTTTACTGTGTGCTTCTGCTATGATGCTCTGGAGGCTGCAAAGGTATATGACATTGTACTGGATTTGCATGGCCAAGCTTCAGTAGTTGAAGGGGAACTAGAGGCATGGCTTCTGCAAGGAGCTACCAGAAAGCTGACAGAGGCTTTCTTCATGTCCAGCAGAGCCAATCCCTGGTAAAACTCCAAAGATAGATGTGCTGCTGGTCAAGGCTGGACCAATTAGAAATGGTAATGCCTCTGTGATAAAAAAAATTAAGAAATAACTAAAAAGCTATTGCACAACTGTAATTGTAGGCAAAGAAAAGCAGAGTGAGAACATATGAGGGAAACAACTCTACAGACGTGAAGATCCATGGAGAAGGAAGAGAAGGAGATGCTCTAGGCATGGAGCTGAGATTACACTGTTGCCTATGGTGCAGAGCATGGTGAAATAGCCGTGTGCCTGCAGCCCATGAAGGACCAAGGGGATGGAGAGATCCATGTAAGAGCCACAGAGGAGACCATGAATGTCCAAGAGGAGACTGTGACCCTGTGTGAGGCCCAGAGGAGAGAGAGGCCCACTCTGGAGTAGCCTGTCCTTCAAGAACTGAACCCTGTGGAAGAGTGACCCACGCTGTAGCAGTCTGAGGACTGTGGGATGGGCTCACATTACAGCAGTTCGCAGGGAGCTGCTGCCCATGAGATGGACTCATGCTCGAGAAGTTCTTGGAGAATGTCTCCTGTGGGAGGGACCCCATGGTGGAGCAGGGGAAGCACTCCTCTCCCTGAACAGCAGATGAAACCCAGGTGGTGAACTGACTATAAACCCTGATTCCCTGCCCCTCTGGGGAAAGAGGTAAAGCTGGGAAGGGGTGGGGGGGGAGAGGTGTTTTTAAGGTTTTATTTTACTTCTTATTATCCTGCTTTGATTTTATTAGTAATAAATTTGCTCTAATTCAAGCCTGTTTGGAAATGACAGTATTTAGTAAGGGATCTCTCCTAGGCCTTATTCCAACTCATGAACGCTTCTTTAAATTTTCTCTCCTCTGTCCAGCTGTGAAGCAGAGTGAGAGAGCTGCTTTGGTGGATGCCTGGCACACTACAGTCCAGAGGCAGACTCACACACAGAAAACATCTTCAATCACAGTTTTTCATTATTGACTAAGTGATCCAAAAACCGTGGCACTGGATAAGAACATCTCTCACCTAACACTTCCTATCATCCCTACATATAAAAACCATAGCAGATGCTGAACAAATAAAATTTCAAGATGTATGTTCACCTCTGTCTTAACTCTACCTTTTATGAAGGGTACCAATGAAAAACACTTTTATTATGTCCCCTTTTTTCTGGCATTATAATGTCCCTTGCTCAGTAATCAAATATATACAATATTGAGAATTCCACTAATTTAAACCTCCAGATGTGAGGAACACTCACATTATTCAATAGCAGGAATATCAAAATTGATCTTTATTTTAGTTTCCTAAAAGGAAACTCTCCTCTAGCTGCTGGATGGTTTTCAAAACAATTGTCTTCTTCTAGAAAATATATCCTTACTATGACATGGTCAGCCCTAAATACTGTTACTCCATCATAAATAACAACAGGTTTATTCCCCAAAATGTAAGGTCTCTGGAAAAAAGCCACATAACCTACCATTACTTCCTGGTTCCACAATACTTTCTGCACTGACTTCTTTCATTGGACTTTGAACTTCTGGTTCTGATTGGACATTTTGATCAGGCAATTCAGTGCCCATCTGACCATTCTGTAACCTCTGTTTCAGCAACGACACCTAAACAAAATGTTCTTTTTGTTAAAAAAATCCAAGGATTCAAAGCAGAAAATTTTTTAACCTTCAAAATTAGAAAGATTTAAATTAACATTGATATTAGCAAGTAGAAAAAGGAGAAATCTGAGATTTTTACCATTTTTCAAGTCAGAATTATGCTTCCAATTAACAAAAGTAAAATTACTATAGGTAGAGAAACAAAGACCAATTAAGCAAAATACATGAATTTTGCAAAAGCAAATTTAGGTCAGACATCTGCTAATGTTGATGTCTTGATAACAAAACATCACAAAGGTGTTTAAGTGCAAATCAGCCAATCCTATTTAACATGAGGGAGATTTTTACAAAGGTATCCTCTACAACAAAGACACACTTAATTTCTAGAAAATCCTAAATTCACAAGATGCTTTTCAACTTCAGAGCAATTATAATAAAACACGGATATGCATTATAGGAAATATAAAGCCAAAAAGAAAAGGTAAGAGGGGTAGTTTTAAACAACATCTGCTGGGTAAATTATTTTACCTGAGTTTGCAGGACACTAATTAGTTGATCCTTTTCTTCTAAGGAAGCATCAAATTCCTCTTGGAGATGTTTCTTAGCTTGTTGATCCATCTGGAGCTCCTGATAATACAAACACATCTCAAATAAATGTGAACTCAAAAGACTTATAAAAATATTATGAAATAACATCTAAAATATACCTTTCATAGTTGTGATCCCAAAAGACAACCCTGAAGTACTTTTTTTTTTTTTATTATACAACATTCCACACAATATAGAAAGAACATCCAATTTATAATACCAGGATTAAACCAGCAAGCATCTAGATTTGATGGAAAATTATCAAGGATTCTTTTTCCTAAAAGGATGTTTGTATAGGGTGCATTTCAAGCCTGCTCCTGAAAAACTCTCTTCCATACACTCATTTCTCCTGGAAGCTGAAGACTGCACTTTGGAAGATTCTTCATTTTGCCACTAGCATAAGACAACATAAAGAGCACAAATATAAAATTCATTATGTTCATTCAATATGCCACCATTCTAAAATGACAAATGCCATGTATAAGAGAAGAAAATTGGTCTTTTTATTCCACAAATATGTCTCAAATGAGAAAGACAGAGAATGACAAATAATTCAAATAATTTAAGTATGTGGCTTTACTTGATACTTACATGCATTTGTTTGGCTGAACGCTCTTAGAAGCTTGTAGATATTGCCTAAATTCTTTAGTAATATCTACAGAGTCTTATATTTTCTGAAGGAGTTCTTTTTAATTACTTCCTATGCTTTTAAAGTTTAAACATTCAAATCATTAAATAATTATTATTCTAATAGAAAATAAATGTACCTAAATTAATTCACATCTAACTGCTTATTCAGAGAACCAGAACCACATACACATCATGCATGCACTGCATGTATTTTCAGAAACTTTTTAATCTTTTTTATTTATGTATTTATTTCATCCATATATATCTTCCCCATGATTTACCTCAGGAAAGGAATGCTTCTATTACTGTTATTCTGCAAAGATCACTTGTATAAAAGCAATCACCACCCATAAACATGAGTTTCATTACCCAGGCAAAGACAGAGGATGACAGAAAGACAAAGAATGAAAAAGCAAATAAGACAAAACAGAGCACTGCATGCTTCCTGCATTGCTTTCCTCCAACTCTAAGTCTTATTTTTATGCTGTCTTGCTGTCTATCCCTTACCTCCAACAGTAAATACCCTGCCACAGATGAGGCTGATACCGGCTTTGAAAACCACTGCTGTAAGAGCTGAGCCTGCCCTACTATGCACAGGCACGATGGTGAGGGAAAGCATCACTGCAAAAAACATTACTCTCTTCCCAACTACACCCGCTTTTTAACACTGATTGCCTCATGTTCCCAGCAATTACTGATCACACTTCTGCCCTGTGCTTCTGAGCTTTAGAAGTAATTCCTTTCAAACAAAGCAAAGCAGGCCAGTGTAAGAACAAGTAAATGGTCCTCTTTGGATCTCAGAGTCCCTTCTGATCCTTTTCTGTGAAAGAGAGCACTGAAGAATACTTTAAGACTCGTTTTGAGGAATTACTCCTAACAGGAGGAAACTAAGGTAAGGAAAACCACATTTATTTCTAAGGACTGTGCCACACTGTTAATTTAGCCTCAAAAGAAGATCAGTTTACTCATACACGGCCCTCTTAGAAGAAACTTGCCTGATTCAACATATTTATGGGAAAAATTGATTGTATTATGAAGAAAAATATTATTAAAATTAATTTCTAATAACAAATTACTACATCAATGAATGAACTACTTTGGACCATGTTAAGCTTCCACAATGGAAATATACCATTTTATCTGTAATTTTTCCTTTGTTGTGCGTTTTACCTAATGCTGCAACACCTGGGCTTCCAAAAGATCAGAAAAACACTTTTTGAAGTGTATCAATTAATGAAAAAGAATTTCAGTGTTAGATTTGAAGGAATATTTAAATTTACAAGATTGGTAAGAATGAAATTAAATTTTACATAAAATGTATATATATATAAAACAGAAATATATGTGTAATTTATCTACATTTATGAATCACAAAGACTTATGACAGAAGTCAAGAATAAAATGCACATGGTCCAACTCTATCACATGCCAAAGATTTAACTCTGTTCCACATCTGCCTTCCTGACTTCAACAAGTAGCAATAAACTGGAAAACCAATCCTACAGGAGCATGCAGATATGGACCTAACTCAGAAAAAGCTTTTTCATCTGACCTTGTAGTGATCTGGAAAAGATACAACCTTGGCAAGCCAATTCTGACAGGAAAGCAACGTTTTTTCCCTCCTATGCACTGACAGTTTAGCTTAGGACATTGTGACAGTTCAGACACAGTCTATAGCTCAGATAAACATGGTACTTCCAGCACTGACTCACTGTTCTCAGCTGCTGGGGCAGAAGCAGCACAGATGTGAACGAAAATGCTATCCCACTAGCACACACACAATTCACAGCATGCTCACCTGAATTACTCTCCGGATCACTGAAGAACGCCCTGCCAATTAACCTCCCTTGAAATGACTGGCTGCCTGACTAGTCACAGGGATAGATCCTTGTGGGTGAGCTTGAGCCTTGAGTATGCACATGGCCAGAGGCTCACAGTCGCCATTCCTCATTATGAAGGGGACAGGTCCGGCCCCTGCCTGTGGGCAAAACACCCAACTGCCTGGACTGAGTCTGCCTTCAGACAAAGGTGGGACCTCACCATGGCCTAATGGCTCCTGCAACCTCCATGCCAGCGCTGCTGCTCAGCATTGCATATGCCAGAAGGTGTGCAGTCATAAGACAAAGCCTGTGAGTTTGGGCTAAATAGAACCCAGCTCTCCAGCAACATAAGAACACAGAGGCCCTTGCACACCCATCTCCAAATCTGGTGTTGCACTAGCTCCTGAGGCAATAAGACAGCTTCAGCTTCACATTGTGCTTCATCAGGGTTTGACAGTAGGGCATTTTTGATTTTACCCTTTTAATCTGTTCTGCCCCATCATCTATACTTGTTTTTTAACTCTATTGTGTTTATTATCAATACCAAATACACTAGTGCATCACCTTTTAATTTCACTATAACCTAAGGAGGCAAATCATAACACAACCTACTTGACTTTATGATTGAAACCAAACTATAGTAAAATCCATAAAACAATGTAAGTATTACAACTGAGATACAGAATATTTTTTTTTTATTATCCTGGTTTTTTAATAGTCATTGAAATCCTTACAGAAATGTGCCTGTTACTTGTGTTTGCCTGAATTAGTATTTGTCATTAATAGAAGAGTAACAAATTGCACAGAGACATCTATGACTGGGCCCAAGAATTCTGCAAGAACCACACACACTTTCACAGTGAACAAGAGAAGTAGTTCAGTTGGTGATGCACTGCTCTGTCTTAAGAGTATAGCAATAAGCTGCTGAATGGGAAGCAAGCCAGAGGAGTAACCCCATACAAACAAGAAGAACAAAAAAGAGAAAATATTTTATGATCAAAAAAGTCAAAAGCTAGGCAGAAAAAGATCTATAGGTGTGATATAAAGTAACCATGAAATCAATAAAGGAAATTACCTCTCTCAGTTCTCCAATTCTGCGAAGTGCTTTATCCTGGCTTTGACTCAGAATGCTCTTAAGAAAAATGGAAGAATAAAGATCAGGTGTATTAAATCTAATTTTTAAATTGATAAATAAATTCAAAAAATCCACAAATGTAATTGTTTGTTTTTCTTTCAAGTCATGCTTGATATGCAAGTATTGTCATAAACTTCTAAGTGTGGGTTGGGAACCTGTCACTCTATCACCTGAAGTTAGCTGATGCAACAGAAAAGGCTGGACTACAATACTTCACAGTTATTTTGGCAAAGTAATTTTACCTTGGTTTCCTTAGAAATGCCAGCTAAGAAATCATCATCTGTTACATACTCACAATACACTGAAAACTAAATCTGTATTGTCACTACACATTTTAAGATTGGAAAAAGCATGCAGGTAAGAGAGCATGAGAAGTAATGCTTACCTGTAGCTTCTTCTTTTCCCGCTGGATAACTTGATAAGCAGACACTAGCTAAAATACACAAATAGGATATAAAGTTGATAATACATCTGCATATACCCATCAAAATAATTTCCTTAGTTGTATCACTACCTGCATTTTCAAACTCTTTGCTCAACTTGAGAACTTTCTTTTGATATAAATGTACTTAAATTTTCTTAATGTTTTCTTTTCCCATCTACAAAATATCTCCAATGTGTTAAAAAATGCAAGCCTACATGACAAAACAATGATGTTACTCAGCATTCATACACAGTTTTCCCTTCCCTGAGACGGCATACCACACACCATCCTTCAACACAGGGGGTCAAACACAATAGTATCAGAAAGCTACATCCCAGACAGCTACCCCACACGGGTGACCACTTGTAAGAGTACATGTCCCAGGGAGATTAAGCAAAAATAATTTTACAAAAAGCCTGCATTAAAAAATACATTTCTAAATTTTACAAATTTTACAAAAAAAGGTGTAATGTTCTCATCCCATATGCTTTACATATATCCAGCAAAGACAGATTGAAAGTAGACAGTATTTCATTTCTCACTGTAAACTGATAAAGGCAATAACAGCAAAACTTAGTTTACTTAAATATTTGATTACAACTGCCAAGTAGCACTATGCTGAAGAAGCATAATAGCATTTAGAACTAGAACACTGTTTTCAAATTGATAAAAAAATTTAAGAAAAACAAATCTAAAACATCAAAATGAGAAAGTCAAAATATATCTTCAAATTCTAATTCAAAACAAACTATTTTCAGAATTCAACATTAATTTTAATTTCAAAGTGATATATATTTTGCCTTTATAAGAAAATCAAAACTGCTATGGGGTGTTTCCTTTACCATATTCTTGAGATGTTAACTTTGTATCTTACTTTAAGAGGGAAAAAATATTTCTGCCTTAATTACTCATTATATATTGCAACAAGTTTCTTCCAAGTTCCAGCAAAACAATTATTTTCAATTGAACTGAAGAAACTCACAAAGCCCGAGAAAAGCCCAAGCCTTTCTGACAGAAAGATGGACTTGGTGGACAGATTACACTAATAAAAAAAAAAAAAACCCAAAAAAAAAAAAAACTAATAAAAAAAAAAAAAGCCCAAACAACCAAAAAAAGCACTAGAACAAATTCACAAACTGAAGAATTTTCATTTTAGCAAGTACTATTTACATAAACTTTTAAAAATTACTTATTACACTAGCTGGAAGTGAAGGAAAAATTACTGTGAGACAACTGCTTTTTAAGGCATATGCTGAACACTGCAGTCATTGTATACATATTTTAGATTTCAGAGATTTTGACAGAAGTCTGCACAGGAATTTTTGTATTAGAGGGCAGCAAACATTAAAAGAACTGTAAAAAAACAGTACAAACATCCAGTTTTAAATACAACACACACTTAAAAAACAATTAAAAAACCCAAACAAAACCCCAAAACTAATTACAAAACCCAATACCAAAACACCACCTTCTGTTTGACAGCTTTACCTTGACCAGTAATTTGGAAAATGAGAAGTGATACTACTTTTATAATTGGTTTTCACTAAAATATCCCAAAAAAAATGAGATCTTTGAATTAAGTCCTCCCAGGGAATACCTAGAAATTATAAAGAATAGAACTTGTTTCCTGAAAACAAAATGCTTGCCTACTGTACATGGACAGAATATACACTGTGCATTTCAAAAACAAGTTGGAAAAATTGCTGTCATGAGAGTACGAGTCATGCTCATCTCTGTAGTGATCTTCACCCCCACTAGATACTTTCACCTGAAATTTTAAAAGGCCTGCTCTGTGTGAGTAACCACTAATTAACCTCTACTGCTGGCATCAGGAAATTATTTACAAACAAAAGAAGAAAAACATTTTCATGTTTTATTAGCAGAAAAACATTTGATGTTTTTAGGTCAAAAAGAACTAGATTTAGAATAATTTAACATGTTAGTTGTGAGTTGAAACATTTGCTCCAAATAGGAAAACAAAAAGAGTGTCCACTGCTGCAGTATGTGTTAGCCTAATCTCTTTCCCCTTTCTGCATAGCTAAATCAGTCACATTGCCTACCTCTGAATATTTTCCCCTATAGTTGCCTAAACTGCGCTCCATTCTGCGCAGACGCTGCAGCAGCTGCTCTTTGCTGAAGGTGTCCGTATTTCCAAGAGGCTCTTCAGTTTCGCTTTCAATGTCAGAAGGTGAATCAAAGGTGGGACTGAAGGCTTCCAAGTCTAGTCGGTTCAGTGAGTCTCTTGAAGAACTTCGGACTAGGGACTCTTTAGAAGAAGAGCGAAATAGGGTCTCTTTTACTGGGCTTCGAAATAAAGACTCCATGGAGGGAACTCGAAGCTGAAGCTTCTGGGCAAAAGACTGACTGTCACTTTGCTGCAAAAATTGAAATAAAGTAATTATTTCTGCACTGCTTTTAGGCAGACAGACACACTAAAGTCCAGGAAAGAGACTTGACCTGTGCAAAGAAACTACTGCTGTCTAACACATGCATGACACCTAATAGCTGCTACTCCCTTAAAAGAATCATCTCCTTTTATAGGAAAAACAAGCATGCAACTACCAGATGTGCACAATTTCAGACAGCACCTGAATCTAATAAACTACAGCTCTGATTTAAACTTTTAGGAGAATACATTTCTGTGTAAAAAGTGAGGAATGTGTAGCTAATATAAATAGTTATTTACTATTGTCTTAAACTTGAAAAATATAACTGACTCACTTTTTAGTGTATTACACAGAAGACGCTATTTATCTCAAAGATATATAGATACTTTCCTATGATAAAGGGAACAAATTAATGGTAGAAATCCTTGTAGAACTAATAATAGTTCTAGCAAGCCATCTTGAACAATCCTTATTTTTATTTTAAATTACTTTACAAATTTTACATAGAACAAAATTATTGATTTATGCAGCTATAGCACTTATTTCATTCTATACCAAAAGATTCTGTGCTGTGGTAACCTTTACTGCTGGTGCTACAGAAATGATGTGAAAGCATTACTGCACGATGTTGGGAGTCACGTGCCAGAAGCCACCGCTAATCCCATTTCAGTAAGCTAAATGTTTCCCTGAGTCATATTAAAAAATTACCTACATCTTAATCACTAGTAACAAGACTTTTAGCCTATTAGCTCTTTCCTTTCAGCTTTCCAGATATGGAATAGGCCCTCTACTTTAAAAAGTGAGTTTAATGCTGTGCAACAAGATGCATCTCAATGCTGGAAGTCTGCTAACCAGTCCTTACAAAAAGAAAAGCTCCACATACCAGTGACAATACTTAATACCATACTTGTGTGTGGGATTACACACAAACAAAGTATCTGAGTATTCTGACAGGCAACTACTTATCCCTACTTCAGCATGAAGAGAAACACTGGGTACTTAAACCAATGTAACAGACAACACAGCAGTGAAGGAGGAAACAAACCCCCATGCCCTCCACATACCTGTGGAGAGACAGGTTCACTTCCATTGTTTTCTGTGGATCCAGGAAGTGGCTGTTTGTTCAAGTTCTACAGGAGGTAAAAACAACTGTTAGAAAAAACAGAGTACAAGGGCCGTAATTCAGTGATTCCAAGAAACGGCATCAGTGCTTTTTTCTTTGCCTGTGTTTTTAGTACTTTCTTTAGAAAGCTTATTAAGATGTCTTCATGCAAACAAGCTAGATTGTTAAATTCAAAACAGATTGCTGCAGTATACAGAACTACAAAGCAGCTATGTGTGCATGGATTAGTATGAGACATCTGCAAATATGGACATCTCCAATTAAGTAAGCCATAATGATTATTTATATAACATTTATGGACAAATAAAAGACACACCAAAAAGACACAATTATTGCAGGGAAAAGTCTAATTGATTACTAGAATTTACAGCCAATATGAGTAAGAGTTGGCTGTAACACCATCTTTCTCTGTTTCACTGCATTGGAGGGGGCAGAAACTATCTGGAAAAGTAGTGCTGGTAACAAACTGTTCATAACTCCAACAAGCATGGAAAGAAAATTAGACTTTCAGAAAATATATCTTTAACAAAACTTCTGCATTCCCAAAGAAAGGAAAACAAAAGACACAAAAAACATTTAAAAACCTCACCCAAAACAACAAAACCAATACAACAAAAAACAATAATCTGGAGTTGGTTGGTTGTTTGGTTTGGGTTTTAGGGTTTTTTTTATTGGTTTTGGTTTTCTTTTACAGAGTTTAGACATTTCTGTTGCTATTTCTGTCTATCCCGCCTTTCCTGTGTCCTATGTTTAGGTGTTTGCTAATCCAGTCCTAATTTTCAGGAAGGATAACCCTGGAAACTACAGGTCTCTTAAGTCTCACTTCATTAACTGGTAAAATTATGGAAATTATTTTTCTGGGAGTTATTAAAAAGCAACTTCAAGACAGAGCAATCCTTGGTCACAACCAGTAATGGGCTCACAAGGGGACACTTCTGCTTGCTAAATCTGATTTCCTTTTATTATAAGGACACTAGAGAGTAGCACCACAGAAAGGGACCTGAGGGTCCTGGCTGGATATGAGTCAGCAGTACCCTGGCAGCCAGGAGAGCCAACTGTGTCCTGGGTGCATCAGGCACAGCATCACCAGCTGAGCAAGGAAGGGGATTGTCCCACTCTGCTCTGCTGCAGCATCATCTCGAGTCCTGCATGCAGTTTTGGGTGCCACAATATAAGATACAAAGCTATTAGAGAGCATCCAAAGAAGGGCTATAGATGATGAAGCTCCTTGAGGGGAAGCTGTACAAGCAGCAGCTGAGCAAGCACTTAGCTTGCTCATTGTGGAGGAGACAGAGGGGAGACCTCAGAGCAGTTTACAATTTCTTCATGAGGGGATGTGGAGGGGCAGGAGCTGTGGTGACCAGCGACAGGACTCAAGAACGGCATGAAGCTCTGTCAGGGAAGATTATGTTGGATATTAGAATAAGGTTCTTTACTGAGAGGGTAGTTGAGCAGTGGAAGAGGTTCCCCACATTAACTGGTCCCACCATCAAGCCTCTCTGAGTTCAAGAAGTGACTGGACAACACTCTCAGGAACATGGTTTGATTCTTTGGGCTGTACTGTGCAGGGACAGGAGTAGGACTTGGGTCGATCTTGTGGGTCCTGTCCAACTCAGAATATTTTATGATTCTAACTTACACAAATCCAGATGTTTTTTGCTGTATAAATCCACTCCAACTGAATTAGCAGAATATGCTAGAAGCCATCTCGGACATGGATTTTTTTCAACAGAAGTGAAACACTGAGCCATATCAAACAAAATATGGGTAAATTCACCTAAGAGCAGCGTAACTCTTAACTTTTAATCAAGCTGTACCCTGACAGTTACATGCAAGCTCCAAAATCTAAGGTGTACATAGAACTGAAATCTCAATCACAATCACCCTTGTAAATATATCTCCTACATGATCACACTCACAGCTTCTACTCTGGATATGCCAATAAGCATACCTAAATGCTAATGTGGCAAAGGAATGATAAAAGAGCTTCAAAAAGATCTGACATACAGCAAATTTGAGGTAGTACAGAAATAACACCCAACAAAGAGAAATCCAAATAGTTAAGGAAACCAGAGAACAGAGCAGTTACCCATATGCAGACAAAACAAAACGAGCCATACAAGAAGTCTGGATTTGGAAACTGTACTTCACCTAGCTTGAACAAAATCTGTATTCTGCTTCAGAACACTGTCCTGTGGCAATGGATTTGCTTCTAGTGGATTAACAGTTTTTATGGGTTTTAAACTGCAGCATTCTACACTGTATTCTTGGCTCCATTACCTGTTCTTGTTTTTTCTCGTAACAGGAAAAGTTAATAATAAGATAACTAAAATAAAAAAATCTTTTGCTTTATAATTTACAAAGCATCTGCTGTGCTCCTATAGGACTGACAACAGAGGAAGACAAACACTTTATCAAGACATCACAAAGAGTGATTGGACATTGGAATGGGCTGCCCAGGGAGGTGGTGGTGTTACTATCTCTGGAAATATTTAAGAAAAGACTGGATATGGCACTTAGTGGCATGTCTAGTTGGCAAGGTGGTGTTAGGTCATAGGTTGGACACTATGATCACAGAGGTCTTTTCCAACCTACTTAATTCTGTGATTCCGTGACTTACAAACTAAATACACTTTTTTCAAAAATCATGTATTCTGATACACACAAAAAAGAGTTAAAGGAAACTCTGGAGGGTTTGTACATGTAATTTGTAAGTATAATTTACTATTTAACATCTATTTTAAAACACAAGATTAGGTAGATTTATTAAATTTAATAAGGTTTTTATTAATATAAAACCCATGGATGCTGTTTGTTTCTGTGAAGATGCTTTAAAAAGTTGCCATTTAAGGACCTAAAAAGATCCTTAAAAATGTAACTTCACAGCTAAACTAGTGCTGACACTTTTAAAAGTTTCCTACTCATTATGCAGGCATCTTTGTATGCAATCTATGAGAACAAAAGAACCCACATTTGGGGTTACACTTTCTATTGGCATAAATAATAAAAGGGATACACTAGCAATCTTCCTTATAAAAAATGGACCACCATAGGTATCTGGCTGCTGAAAGGCTACATCACAGTGCTCTAGGGCAAAGGATTGTATTTGGGTATCTACACACTGAATGGTAAGCATGAATGGATGTTGCTATATAAGTACAGATCCAAGAAGCTTTGAAAAGCTTAAAAGCCCTAACCTTTCATAAGCCTGAAGAGAGCTGTCAGCAAAATTAGACTCACAGAGCACAAGCAGCCACTTTGAAAGTCTTAAAACCAGCAGTTACATCAGGGTTTCTGGAGACCAGTCAAAGCTTTTCCTCCACAAACTCATCGAACATAACACCCATATCTCTATCCAAAGACAGCTATAATTGCAATCTTTAACAAAAAAGTTGCTTTTTATTATGAAGATGTATAAATCAGAGCTCAGTTTCAACTGGAGCACATTAGGATGTTCCAATAACTTTTGTGTCAACTTACTTCCCTATTTCTGAAATGCAAAATCATACTTTTTTTCTTAAAGGTATAAATAGATTAACAAGCATGACAAGTGAAAGCTTAAATGTTTTTATTTAGAAATATTTTACTGCTTTTAATAGTAATACTTTCTCTAGTATTCCAAAACTGAGTAATTATGAAGGGAGAAAGGAAAGCGAGCTTAATGTTTTCTTCCCTTATTTTCCTTTTATATTTTCTTAAAAAAAACCAACCCACTGTGTCCAAGAATATTTTTAACTGTTTCTTCATGTTCTTCATGCACAAAACCTTTGTGGCTCAGCTAGTAAAGAGTTTATACTAACTTCATCTATGCTAAAAAAATCCACAGTTGCAGTCACTTCTCTATGCCGTTCACTCTCAGATCACATATACAGCTAAAATACTGTTTTGTTTTAGCAGAATATGCATTAGTGTGTGATGGTAAAACTTTCATCTCCTGTATTTTTACTGTATCTAGGTTTTGTAAACACGTTTTTTTTAATCAGTTATCCTATTCTCTATAAACTTTCCAATAATTTTTTCCTCTCCCAGTTCTTATTGTGAGTACTGCTCTAGAATTTTCAAGAAGTCCAGAGAACAAAATGAGTTTTACAGGTAACATATTAATACACACTGGTAACACATTAACAATAATTGTTTCATTTCTGAAAACTTGCATATAAATATGTGAGCCAGTAAATATGCCGCTGAAGTACATACTAAAAGGTCATATAAAGACAACGTTGGAGCACTCACACAAACAGTTATGTGAAATGAATTTTTTTTGAGATAATCCTGTTGTATAGTGAAAAATAACAAAGGTTACTTAAATTGCAGTGAATCTTTAAATAATGATTGCTGGACCTGGAATATGGGCAGAATACACTTTACAGGGACCACCATTTTAATCATTGTTTCTGTCCAATCTTGTTTAGCTTGAGAGAGACAAGTCCAGCACAACTGTATTGTGCTATGGTGTATATGTGCTAAATTTTGATCCTGTTATAACTTTCAGTGACTGGTCACTTTTAACCACGAGCAGGAAAAGAGTACTTACAAAGTAATAATGAAGTATCACGATAAGCTGGGATTCTAAAAACTACTGTGCTTTAAACCACTTATGGACTTGGGAATGCCATGCCTCTAAAGCATGTGAAAAATGCCATTCCTGGCCTGTGCCAAGAAGAACACAGTTTCCATGTACCTATATCAGAAAGCAGAAGTCTGACTTCCTCCCTCTACCGGCTTCCTTTTCTCCACTTCTTGTCTCCTCTCACTGAGCTTCTCCATTTATATATAGTGAAGACAACATTTCCAGGCAAAGAAGCATGTATTTCAAGTAAAATCTAATTATTAAAAAAAAAACTTATTCATCCTCACAATAAGAACTGCCAGATTATCAACTAGATGTAGATTAATTTATGTGTCTATGTGAAATAATTATGTCCTGCTACCATTAGAAGTAAATTACATGCTACACTTCACCATATACATCAAATAGCATGTAAGTTTACACATAACCAATCCCACATGGATAATTCTATCAGTTTATCTTGAAATACATACAGACATACATAAATATGAAGAGAAAATTTCTATGCAACACACATACAAACTCATGCAACAGTTATTTAAATTTGTGTATTGTTGCCTGTATAAGAAAAAATATGTTAATTTTTTAATGTTACAAATAAATTCACATCATACCAGCATTAACAGGCAGGAACTATCAGCTACTACCTCTGTGAAATTTAGTGCATGGTTAGCAACAAGATAGTTAAGGCAAAAGTCTTTGTGAGAACAAGCCACAAGCAAGTAAGTTTGCCTTCTAGTACATTACTCTCCTCCACCTGCTAAAGGCATCACTAAGAGGGGTGGGGAGGACTCACCACACCGTCATTCTGTGGCTTAGGTTGTTTGGTGGGATCCAAAGCAAAGATAGTATACTCAGACAGAAAAGCAGGTTCTGCTATCATCCCAGCTAACAGCTGTTATTCAATGCAAAAAGGAGGAAAATGAAAATAAATCGAGCAATAAGGAAAATTGCAAAATTTTACTCAATTTTTCCATGCTATTAAAAACATAACAAAACAATACAGAAGTTTATGAGACAACCAATATTGATAAAGGGAGGATGTAACCAGAAAATATGCACTAGATCATTTTAGAACAGCAAAAATACAGTTTTGATTAAAACGTCTTTAGAACAAAAGAAGCATACTATTTAAAAGAACCCAGTTTAGCCCAAGATAAAAATAATGTTTCGGGCATTGCTATTTTAATTTTTTTTAACTTCGGTGGATGAGTTGTCTTCATATATCACTGAGCCCTATTTGCTCTCAGTTATTCATTAACAACTCATTATTCTAAAAATCCCATCAGTATTTCAATTATATATAACCTAAAATGCTTGCTTTTGACTATTTATTATCTGATGCTTTTATACACTAGAATGCTGTCTACATTTTAAAAATTTCCTTACAATTTTTTAAAACTACTAGCAGACTATTTTGTAAAAATATCATAAGCTGAATTTGACCATTTTATCAAGTCAATATCTAAGAAAATATATAAATTCTTAGAGGTGAAAACATGAAGCCAAGAGACTGGAATTTGAATTAAAATTGGACAGATACATGTAATGCAATGCAATCTAATGCATTTAGGATGCTGTAACTGACAGACAAAAATATTCCTCTCATGATTATACTCACATACCTACGTTCAAGGTTCAACTTCCTTACAGCTTGTGATTTCGGAATTGTACTGATTGCTGACTGAACCAAACTAAATAAAACAAAATTGTTCTGAAATTATGAGACAAACTCCTCTATAAAGTTACTAAACAGTACTTTTAGGAATCAAATACTAATATAAGTTAGGAATTTAAATTACTTTTTTTTGGTGATGATTACATTTATTCCAGTGCTGTAGCAGATTAATTTCATAAATTCAAATTGAGAGAGAGAAAGATTTTCACAGCTAAGATCAGAAAGGCTACAAGACTTTGAACGTACGTTTGCCAAACCCTTCATGACTTTGAATTTATGTTCACCAAACCCTTTCAGAAAATGCAAGAAGTGGTAAGATGTTCTGTGAGAGCCATATACAATAAATAGCCTCAGATTTGCCAATAACTATTTGCCAACAAAACTGAAATTTCTCACTTTTAAGTTACTGCAAAAATGAGCTGCGAATAAAAAAGATGGTCACACTTCTCATGCTCTCAATCTTCTTCACTCCCCCGGAGCCTCAACTCAGTTGCCCTGTACATTCACTGTGGTAGCAACACCACATTAAGTTTGTTGTTCTCCTCTCTCTGCCTCTTAGAAGTATAATTCTTAAGAATAAGCTGTGCAAAAGCTCCTCATACATACATATATATATATATATCTAAATGTGTGTGTGCGCGTGTGTGTATATATATATATGTGTATGTGTATATGTATGTATGTATATGGGTGTATATATATATATATTTATACCGGTACATAAAACCCACCTACTTTTATTCCTCCTCTGAGCTTTCAGAAAATACAAAAATAAGGAAATTGACAAAACTGACAAGTGATAATGGTTCCAGAAAATCTTCATCAACTGCTGATGTAAATTGTTGATATAAATTCTTGCTGCTCTTGAAAAGGCTTATGTCAATAAAAGGCATACACTATATATAAACAAGTGTACAAACATACAGCAGCAATAATACAAGCAAGCCTGACAGCCTGCTCTGCCCTGGGAGCAGCTCTAGGTTAGTGATGGGATTTTACCCTCGTGGAAGTTGCCCGCAACCATCTGGCAGGGGGAAAGAGAAAGCCACAGCCCCCCCACCTTCACACTTTGATCCCGGCGTGCTGCTGCTGAGTTCTGGCCTGGCTTATTAGATTTGAGTCGCTTGCCCTGGCTGCTATCTAAAGCACCAAGCTCGACTAGGGGTCAGGTGACTATTTGAAAAGGTCAGGTGTGATGGAAATTTTTCAGTTCTTCAGTCTTCTCTCCAGTGAGAGAAAGGAACAAGATACAAGCATGTAAAAGAGAAACATAAAGACATCGAAGTCAGTGAGGAAGAAGTTAAGTCCAGGTGAGAAGAGTGAGGAGATGCTTTTTTTTAGAGCTGAAATCCTCTTGTAAGCTATAGAGAAAAGACTCTTTTTTTTCTTTATAATACATGAAACTATAAGGAGATTAAAGTGTTCAAACCAATATTGAGCAAAAGCCTCCATGCTAAGATAGGCAGATGTCAAAATAGCTGCAATCCCATGAGAAGTTTAAACAGAAGAAGAGCAGTCCTCTGCTTCCAGAAGATCTCTGTTCCCAGAGATGAAGATGATTTTAGAAACAGACAATGAGGTTTAAACAGCTCATCTTTAAAACCATACCCCACAAGACAACATTGCCCATTGACAAGCTGTAGGAAAGCTTGTAGAAATGGGAAAGGTTTCGCAATGGCAGGGTTCCCTGGCCAGCTGCTATTTGTAACAAAATTGAGAGCCACAAGAGAACTGTTTTTTCCACTTATAGAGAAGTCTCTATAATCTTAACGAGGGACTTCTCTCCCTCATTGAACTAACAAAGACTCTTTTAAGGGTAGTAAACTGACTAAAAATATTACATTTAGTTTATTTACATTGTCAGTGAGAAAGAAAAGGTTATGGAGGGAAGGAGGAAGTGTTCTAAAAAGTTTATCTTTTCTTTTTCCCTCTAGTTACTTTTAATAAAATTCTCTTTTGTACCCTTTTAAAGTTTTGAGCCTGCTTTACTTTTCTCCTAATCCTGTCTCACAGCAAGATTTAAGTATATTAGTAATGGGCCAGCACCGAACCCATCACATTCTTTAGTGCATTAGCTGGGAACATTTCAAAATTAGAAAGATCTTAAATTAGTGAATCAAAATCACTACAAAGATGAAAGACAGTTTGCAAAGCACTGATAAATGGATTAGGCATATATTATTAACCAAAAGATAATGAACATTTTCAACATGTAACATATATTATTTTCAGTTCAATTAAATCACTTTTAACAATATGACCATCAAGAACTTCAGGAACCACAGACAATTTCAATTATCTCTTCACAGTAGCAGACTGCTTGTGCTCAAAATATTAAGTAGAGACATTTCACCCTAGCATTACTTTGCTTAATCCTAATTGCATTATTTAGTACACCAAAAGTTTGCATTAGAAAGGATTCTTATTTGATCTCAAACTAGTTAATCCCCCCCCCACCAAAAAGATGGTCTGTCAGCTTGTTCAGCATCTATGAATTGTTAGATTTTCAGTAATCCCTGGAATTCCATGACCAAGTTAGTGCAGCCAGGTTCAGGAGGTTCAGACATAAATTCAGAAATTTACAAACTCATTCTTTTACAAAATATTAATGATAAAACCCAAAACATACAGGTAAGATGACAGAACTTTAAGCAATGGCATAAGTTCATTTTTAAAATTCACTCAAACTACCTGGTAGACTGATAGGGACATGCAATCCTGTTTTAACACAGAGATCCAAATTATCCACTGCTTAAAATATGCCAATCCATATAGCAGTTAAGGAAATTGATGCAGCACTGCTTGAACTTGCAGACATACAACTCCAATGTCTCCATCATAATTAAAAGCTTACACAAACAGTAGAATGCAATTAAAAATTCTGTTCTGTTTCACTGATTCTGATGAAGATGCAAGAACATTTCTAAATCATCTCAGCTTCGCCCTTTCTTCCTTGAGTAAAGGCAAGCACAGAAGGGAAAAGGCCTCTTTCTTGGCCACATGGGCAGGCTACTGGCTCTTGTTCAGGTTGCTGCCAATCAGTACCCCCAGGTCCCTTTCTGCCTGGCCTCCATCCAGCCTCTCTGTCCCCAGCCTGTAGCGCTGCAGGGGGTTATTGTGGCCAAAGTGCAGGACCTGGCACTTGTCTTGTTAAACCTCGTATCATCGGATTCATCCCATTGATCCAGCCAGGTTACTCTGCAGAGCACTCCTATCCTCCAGCAGACTGAGATTCACACCCAGTTTGGTGTCATCTGCAAATTTGTTAATGGTAGACTCAATCCCTTCATTCAGATCATCAGTAAAGATCAAGCAGGACTCGGCCAAACACAGATCCCTGGGAGACATCACTAGTGACTGACCACCAACTGGATGCAATACCATTCATCACCACTCTCTGGGCCCAACCATCCAGCCAGTTCTTAACCCTGCTAAGACTGCACCTCTCCAAACCATGGGCTGCCAGCTTTTCCAGGATTTTCTGTGGGAGACAGTGTCAAAGGCTTTGCTCAGTCCAAGCGGACAACATCCACAGCCTTCCCTGCATCCACCAGGTGGGACACCTGGTCATAAAAGGATGTCAGGTTGGTTAGGTAGGGCCTGCCTATCCTAAATCCATGCTGGCTGGTTCTGATCCCTTGGCACCCTGTAATTATACTCAAGACGATCTATTCATAACCTTGCTGGGCACCAAGGTCAGACTGACAGGCCTGTAGTTTCCTGGAGCCTCCTTTTTGTCCTTCGAATGGATGGGCATCAGATTGGCTAGTTTCCAATCATCTCAGACCTCCCCAGTTAGCCAAGACTGATGATAAGTGAGGAAGAATGGCAGCTCACTCATCACCCTAGTATCCCATTTGGCCCCACAGTCTTGTGAGCATTTTGAGTGACTCATTAGGTCACTAACTGTTTCTGGATTGCAGGGAGGCTATTCTCTGTCTAATAGGTCAGGACACCAATTGTCCTGAGGAAAACCTGTCTTATTGTTAAAAACTGAGGAAAAGAAAAAAGAATCAAATACCACCATTAAAACAGGCACATAGAATGGAAGCCAGACATTCCTTTGTTCAGGGTCCCTAAAGGAGACACCTAACTCCATCTGTCATTTTATTGCTGAACCATGATAAAAATTCTTAAAGGAAGCAGAGTCTAGGACTCTGCTATGGGAAACCTTCTATCAAGGCAGTGAGGGAAACTTGTCTGACATGTGAGTGTCATGAAACTTGTCTCCATATGAGTGTGTGGGGAGTCAGTTCATTTGAGCTCCTTGAGGTGAAAGGGATTCAGTCCCAACAGCAATAGCCTGCGGTGGTGCAAGTGTGACTGCCAGAGCGGCTCATGGGTGGTCAAACAGGAACATTTCCCTAACAAACTGTGACATTACTGATCTTCTGCCACAATATTTAAGTCTTATTCTGGTTTTCTGCAAGTAAAATCCTACTGAGTAACAAATGTTTCTATCTTGGATAGAAAGCTGCAAATGAAGTAAAATGGTTGATGAACCCAAACACCAGATGACGTTACCTTCAGTATTATCAAAGGACACATACAGTTACTGTTTAAATAATGTATGCAAATTTGTATTTTCAACATTCTGAGCAGTTTTTGGAGTCCTCAAATTTGGCCTCAATGAAGCAGCCTTACTTGATCTTTAAGGACTTTCTGAACTCCAGAAATGACTGTGTTCTTATTATTATTCCTCGTCCCTCTGAAGAATTACATGTTCAAATCTTCTTTCATAAGGATTCTGTGAGTGGGGTGCAAAGGTCGAAGTATATGCAATTCCTACATCAAACAGGTTCCTTAATATGCTGTAAAAGAAACCCCAAAATATAACAGGGATCAGAGACTGACCCAACTCTCACTGCTCTGGAGATGGCAATAGGTGAATATTATACATGTTACATGCGTATAATATATTTGATTGCCAAAAATAATCATCCTTCCCTTTCAGAAAGAGATTCAATAGTTCCAAATTTTGTATTAGCCGGTTATGAAGCAAATTTGAAAATTCATACATCTTGTTAGAAAAGTGCATCATAGCATACGTATCTGTAGTATGTTAACACTTAAAAGCTTCAATAACTGTACTTGAGTTTTGCTGTTATATACCATCACAGCAAGACAGAAGAGGATGAGACTACACAACTTGTCTAAGTGAAAAGCCACCATTTCTTCATCTAGTTCAAGTAGCCAGATGTCAACTATCAGGTAAAGGTTTTGTTTCAACTCTTACTCAAGTTGAAGTCATTCCCCAGAGTAAAATATATAAATAAATTTGGTTATTTGTCCTAAGGGAATAGGAAAAACTGAAGAACTAAAATTTCAAGAGTTTCTCTCTGCAATAAAGTCCCAAAAATCCAGGAAAGCTGAAATGCACTTTCAGAAAGCTAAAGTACAGAAATCAAATAGGTCTTTTCTGATATACAATATACAATAAAAGTAGTTTAAATTCAAACTAGCCTATGCAGCCTCCAAAAATTAGTCCTAAATATCAGAAAGGAAAAAAATACAGATATATCTGAACCACTAACATCTTTGCATGGCAACAGCTATTTAAAACTACTTCAGATAAAGTATATGAGTACAGAAAAGATAAGAGTAGGTACCGAAGGAGTATTATTTCAGCTTTACTTGTCGTGTTTTAGTAATAGCTAATATTAAAGAAGCATTTCAACTAATTTAATAACACAGTCACTATATACCATTAAAATTAGACCAAAAAGTACCTTGGCTAAGTATCTTTAGGTCTAAGTGCTATATATATATATTGTGCTCTGCTGTCACTTCCATAACACTCATTAGGATATCAGTGACATTTGGATGCATGACTGGTAGGTCACCCACAGCAATCTATCAGCTGCTTGCTTTGCTGATAGCAAACTAGCGCTAGCTTTGTTATCTTCTGCAGTAGGGCCTTGTACACTTGTAAACAAGTATATTGTAGAACAAAAAGTACATTTTTAACTTACAAGAGCTATAGTGAATACAATTTATGTATTTCACCTCAAACTCTGTTCAAATGTCAATGTGGTAACAGTTTGAAAACTGAACACTATTTTTCCGTAGAAAAGAATGAACACACTAAATAAGTATATTTTAATAATCTAGGGCTGTTTCAAACAGCAGCATACCAAATCAGAAAGCAATGGATATACAAATTGTCTGATAAAGTTCTGCAGAAGTAGTTTTACCTCACAATGTGATCATGTTTTACAAGATACTTGCAGTAAGAGAATACAGAACTAGTCAAGATGCCTGCCCTTTCCTATACATTAAAAAAATTTGAGGTTTCTATAGTCTGCTATGGGAGATTCACATTTCAAATAAAATACAAGCTAAAGAGGAAAGCTGGCATGAAAAAGAAACGTACCTGGCATTACATAAATAGAGCATACAAGTTGTAGGTTTATTTTAAACTGATAGCATCTTGGAATTTTGAAATATTAAAGAATTTTTAAAATCTTCTCATTGTAGAGTACAAAGCAAGAATGTTGGCACATATGTTTTATTAAAATTATTTTATCAGACTAATGATGTAATTTACAACTGTAACTAATTCTGAAATTATTTTTATTATAAAAATATTCCGAGAATAAACCAAAACCACTTGTAACTTTAATACTACGGAAGTTAAAATATAAAAACCTGATCTATTTAAAGACATACTAAAACATAACTCATAGAAGAGGACACAAAATATACAAAAAAATTATGAAACACTAATATTGCTTAGCATTCACTTAGCAATTATTCCTGTACTGCAAAAATGTTTTAGCATGCAACACTCTTCGACCAAATATTTTCAGTGTATTAAACATTGCCCAACATTTCACTGTAATGCCACCGATATCTGCACAAAAAACAACTGCCTAGTCAAATGAGAACACCACAAAAAATACCCTCCAAAAGACAAAATGCATTCATATAATCAGGGCATATATTTTCAGTGACAATATGCAATATCTGCATCTTATTTAAGCATTGTATACTGCTGCTGAACTGAATTTTATGAAAATCTAATCCAACAGAGTTCCAAGACAATTTGCTTTTAATCATACTTCCAACATTTATAAGAAATTTTTGGACAAATTAGATTTCTTGTTTTAATCATTTAAACTTAATTTTTTGTAAAATATTCAGTTTCATGTAAAACCAGCCCTTACAAAAAAAAAAAAAAAAGATTTTTATCCCCTTAGGACCTCACTACTTCTTGAATTTCTAATTAAAGGATGTGTTTCACAAATAAATCTGTTATGGCAGCTCCCATAAGACAAAGGATAACTGCAAATCTGATGGTACTTTACTACCTCTGTTTCCACTCTTATTTCTCCTTCTGCCTCTCTGGTCATTCCAGTCTAACCAGTCTATTTAGAGATTAATGTTCTTCCAATGCTACTTGGCATGTGCTATAAAGAATCTTTTGCTTCTCCTGTTTGTCTGGAACAGCACTCTGGAAATGAAGTTTGCTGGGGACAACACATATCTAATTAAGTAAATGTAGTTTTCAATAGAAATCATGAAGAAAACCTTGGCCGAATCAGTTATTTTGCATATTATACAATAAATAAATAAATAAAAACAAAAAAACACGGGAATCACCTCTCAGTAACAACTCACTCCTTCTAGGCCATAGTAGTAGTTCTCATGTGGCAATAGGCTACTTCTATACCCTGTATTAAGAACAGAAAACTCTCCTTACTGAAAAACCTGGTAATTTATCCTGGGTGACACTGCTTGCTAACATTCTGGAGCACCAGTTAACAGAAAATCTTTTTCCAATGGGAGAGGGAATTCATTACAAACGTATACACACACACACACATATTATATATATGTGTATATATATATATATATATATACATATATATGTATATATATATATATATATCACAATAGAAAAAATAAGCATTTCTTAAAAATTCCAAAATACAAACTAAATTCATGAAGTACTTTCCCTTAAATTTCTATTAATGCAGGAAGCAAACTGCCAAGCTGTAATCACTGATAGCATTCATAATGAAATCTATTGCAAATTTCAGGTATAGCTGATTATCTCATGAAGAAATTATGGTGTTAAAATTATAGTGGATTGTTCCACTGCAAGAAAACACATCTCTTTTTGTGGCAAAACAAAGCAACTAAATTTTCTGACAAGGACACAACATTTCCTCTGAAAAAGTTCACAGAATCACAGAACCATCCTCCTTTATGCTACCAGCCTATGTCCATGCTCACTAAGTCAGGAAAATGTTTTGTTTATTTGTACTTGTTTCTTTTTTTTTTAATCAAGTCGCTTCAAAAGAGCTATAGTACTTAATATGAAACAAGGCAAGTGCACATTATCTTCTTCGTTTGCTTTACTATGCAAGTCAAGGTTATCCATCATTCTGATAATAATTTTAATGATATTTTATGACTGATAATTTAGACTCAGTTTAGTTTGTTGTTCAGTGGTATTTTGGGGGAGAGGAGGTGAGGGGGACTGGGTTGGTTTTAAGTTTGGGAACAGAGGAGAAAGGAAGTGGAGTGGGGGAAATAACTTTGAGTCTGATACTTATTACTGGCACTATTAGAAACAATCACAAATGTTCTGTATAAACTTTTTGGATCACCCACCTCAAATTACCTGGATTCACCTAGCTTTTTAACCAAAAGTGGGACAAAAACAAAAACAAAGTCAGTCTCTCTGAATATATCCTCTGTCCCACTACCTCACTGAGTTCAGTTCAGGAGTAAGATTTTTAAGACCTGAAGACTTAAAGCATTTCTTAATCTGGGGTTAATCACTACTTAAAGATCTGTTTTATTACTATTAAACACTTAGGTATTTAACCTAAAAAACAGACAATTCATATCTATAAATACACAGAAAATAGTGAGATTGAGAAATAATTAAAAAAAAAACTTAATGAAGGACCTAAATTTAGGTTTTTTAAGCTGAAAAGCAGAGAAAAACAGTTCTCAACTGACCTCTTTGTCTGGCGTCACAGTGCTTTCATGATTCTGATCTGTAAATGAAGTTGTCCGGATTCTGTTGCCAGTTGACGGAGGGGATTTGGAAGGGACCTACAGAGAGATCATGTATATCAACAAGTAATACTATTAACTCCAGAACTAATTATTCTGTGTCATAATTTACTTCAAGAATTACTAACTATATCATCACAGTGAAGACTAGTTTAGTGCCTTTTAAAGAAAGCAACTGTCTGTGACAAGTCCTACCTTACTAAAAAGTCCCCAGAGCAAAATGTGTCATGAATCAGCCACAAGAACAAACAATAAAATGGGTTATTTTTATTATTTCCAACTATGGTCCTCTTGGACCATATTTGAAAAACAAGCCTCCTAATATTTTAGGAACATATTAAATATTACAGTTCCTTAAGTTTAGTGATTTGACTTAGGGATTTGATTTAGGGATTCAAACATTTACAAGTGCAATGGAATCTGATCAAGAACTTAGAAAATTAACAACAAAAATTACACTAAGAAAAATTATAAATGTTAATTTTGTAATATTTACAACATTGAATCTAAACAATTAAACAATTTGAAAGACAAAATAAATTGCTTTATTTTTCTGATGTCAATATGTACTTGTTGCTCCTATCAGAACTAAACATCTATTCACAGAAATTTTAAAATTTCATTCAAATTGAAGTTCTAAAAAGTCACACTAACTCAAACTACCTGGCCAGCCTCATCAAATCCTATCAAAAGCAAAATTTCAAATATAAAATTTCAGTAGAAATGTAATGAGTAGTAAAGTACCAACAAGCAGACCTATACAAAGGAAAGTAATTAGCAAGATTTCTCATTAAGTATTGTGAAAGGTTGGAAGGATTGTGGACTCAAAATATTTCAGGCATGTGGTGGGAGGAAGAGGAAGGTCAGGCTTTGCTTTGATGAGGTGATGCCCTCCTGCACATATCCCACCCCTCTGGACCTGTATCCCAGTCTTGCAGTGGCTGCCAATACCCGGCACACCAGAGTAAATGTGCCATACTCTGCCCCTGAAGCCCAAATCCCAGCCCAGAGTGGTCAGATGACCAGAAGTTCCACCTGGGGGAAGGGCCCTGGGTACTTAACCCAGGATATAAGGCAGGCACATGCATGTTTTGACCCTACCTCTTCTTGAAATGTCTATCAGCTGAACTCTGCTGGAACCAGGAGTGGTAGCTATATTTATTCTTTTTTATAACAAAATTATTCTAAAATCAGTCATAGTTACAGGTCTGAAGAGGTAGACCAATGTCCTAAATTGAAAACACTACCCAAAAGTCAAACAGCTTACCTAGTACCAAATAGCTATTCACCATGAAATCCTTATGTATTGTTGAAAATAATCATATCAAAGCATTCATAAGGTTTGTAAAAAAACCCAATCTACTCATGCTGACAGCCTACTCTTCTTTTATTTCTACCCTCAATCTAATGCCAGGGTTTTAAAGATTATTTGAAAATCAATTTCCTTCTGTTTGGTGAGGGCCAGAAGCATTCAAGGACACTTTGTCACTGCTTAGAAGCAGTATGAACACATTTCTTCGCCCTGCCCTTAATGGTTCCACAGTTCTCACTGCTGCATTCAGACTTCTTGTCAATTTACAGTCATTTCAGTGGCACTAAGCTTTGCAGCACAAATTTTAATTGATCTTACACAAAAACAGAAAGAGCTGAAACAGCATGGTACAGTTAAATTGGAAGGGTTCAACTTCCTGACCAGCTCAGGACTGACTAAAAGTTAAAGCATGGCTTTAAGAGCACTGTCCAAATGCCTCTTCAGCACTGACCGGCAAGGGTGAGGAAGGCACTAACCAGCTCTCCAGGAAGCCTATTCCATGTTTTGGCCACCCTCTACGTAAAGAAGTGTTTCCTCATGTTAAGTCCTAATCTCCCATGACAGACACTGTTTGAGTTACTCTTGCATGTTCTGGTTCTGTGTACCATGGAGAAGAGCTCAGCACCTCCCTCTCTACTTCTCCTCCTCTGGAAGCTGTAGAGAGCAGTGAGGTCACTCCTCGGCCTCCTCCTCTCCAAACCAGACAAGCCCAGCACCCTCAGCGCTCCCCAGAGCACATTCCTGCCAGCCCCTTCCCCTGCTTTGGTGCCCTTCTCAAGACATGCTCAAGGACCTTCACATCATTTTAAATGGTGGGGCCCAGAACTGCACACAGTACTCAAGGTGAGGCTGCACCAGTGCTGAATTCAGTGGGATAATCACCACTCTTGGCTGGCTGGTGATGCTGTGTTTGATGCACCCCAGGATGAGGTTTGCCCCCTTGGCTGCCAGGGCACACACACTGCTGATCCCATTGAGCTTCCTGCCAACCAGCACTCCCAAACCCCTTTCTGCAGGGCTACTCTCCAGCCACTAATCTCCCAGCTCAGACTTGTGTCTGAAATTACTCCATCCAGGTGCAGAATCCAGCATTTGGTTGGTTTTGTTCAGTTTCATGCTGCTGGTGATCGCCCAATACTCCAGTCTGTCCAGATCTCTCTTGTCCCATGGGAGAGTCAGTAGCACTTCCCAGTTTGATATCATCACCTGACTATCTGTGCATTGAACTGCAGCCTCCAGATCACTGATAAAGAGACTGAACAGAGCTGCCTCTAGACCTGAGCCCTGAGGAGCACCACTGGTAACTGGTCACCAGCCAGATGTCTTGTTTGCTGCAATAATTTCAGCCCTGCTCTTCAACGAATTCTCTGCCCAGTACACTGCATACCTGCCCATCCCACTGTTGGAAAACTTGTCTGGAAGAATACTGGGAAGAACAGTAACAAAAGCCTTTACAGTACCCCAAAAAACTACATCCACCACCTTCCCTTTGTCTACCAGGCAGGTGAATTTACTGCAGAAGGTTTTTTAAACTGGATTCTCCCTTTGTAAACCCACATTGACTGTGTGATGATTACACTGTTCTTTAAATGTCTTTCAACAGCATACAGTATGACTTTCTTAATAATTTTTCCAGGTCCTGAGGTTAACTCTGTAGCTTCCTGCATATTCACTCATGCCCTTCCGGTAACCTGGAATAATGCTGGCTAGCTCACAGTCAGCAGGGATCTCCCCAGATTGACAGGATGATTGAGAGCAGTCCTACCATAACATCTGCTAGCTCCTTTAGTACCCTGGGTTGAATCCCATAGGCCCCACGAAATTATAAACATGCATTCAACTGACATAACTTGTCTGTTAAAATTTCTGTGTTCACAAATGGGAAGTCAATGTTCCTGCAGTCATGGTCCTCTGACTCAGGACCAGGCAGACCAAGGTATGTCAATACTATTAAAAACTGAGGCAAAGAAAGTACTGTCTCCATTTTAATTCATCCCTATTTGTCAGGTGACAGCCTTGGACAAGCAGCAGTTTAAGACACTGTAATAGCAATAGCGCTTTTTTCCACCCTGTCAGCCATCAGAAAGAGATCTGGTCCTCAGACTGTGAGGGACAGGCATTCTCAATTTAACAGATTACATCATCCAGCTAACCATTCATATGAAAGAGGAAGGGCTACAAACACCTCCTCAAAAAAGGTTATATTTCTCAAGTTATACTTGAGAAATTTTACCTCCAGGTTTACACCAGTCTTAAGGTAGTAAATTTAGTATTGGACACTACAAACTGAAGTACAAATGTGAAGTTCTAGGTCTCAAAGTAAGGGATATGAGTAGAGCATAGACAGTATAGAGCATAGTGAGTGAAGCCTCTCTACAACAGGGTGTAGGAAAGAAAAGAGCAAAAATTAATGCAAACACAAGTTTCATAAACTAAGAAATTGTAAGAGTTAGGAAAATTTGGTCTGAAAAGGTTTTGACAGGAAGGAATGCATTTTAAGGATCTGAATTACTGAGCTGAAAAAAAGCAAAGGAAAAAAGCATATCACACACTTTTTGCAAGACTACAGTATATTTTATAAGCCTCAAATTCTCACTTCTTCCTTCAGAGACTCTGTTTTCAAATGATACAAGAAGTGAGAAGACAAACTTAATTTACTTCTAAGATCTAATTTAACTATTTCCCCCTAACATTACTTGAGAGCAACCAAAGAGTAAGAAACATTGCAAGACAACTGTTTTATATGAAAATAAAAATATGTTGTAATTTCTTGCTTCTGCCTTTCCATTTATGTCAACCCTTGAGTTACATAATTTGCTCTGTCCACAGTACAACAAACTAGGTTTATAGACTAGATATAATTTATTATAAGCTCTCGTATCAGGTTTCAGGGTATTTTTCAACGTTAATTTTTCAAGAGCCAGATAAAGACTAAAGTATATTATGTTGCTGGGTGTATATATTTGCATGTAAGTCCATATTTATTCAGTAGAATGGTTTTCAGAAAGTACTAACTCTTGAACACATGCACTGAGTATCCTGAACTAAGTGGATTACAATGCTGTGTGAAAGGTATCATAATTTAGCTGCTGCACATTGAAAATAGTAAATTCTGAAGATCAATCTCTTTTACACTGCACTGATAGCTTACCACATATGACAATTAAGACAGCACTCTAAACTGTAACTAACACAAACACACTTCCCTAACTAGAGAAGGTACAGATTTAATACTATGGAAGGCCTTAAAGTAAGACAGCAAGCTACATAAAACTTCACAATAGATCAATTTCAAAAAATCTTACCTCTATTTCACAAATGAGTGATTCAAAGAATAGAACATAACTGTCAGCAGTTTTGAAACCATGGTCTAATACTGAGACTATGCAGCACCAAATCTCCCAGTGGTTCAAATTATACTCAGATCAAGCCCAGCCAACTAATCATCTATTTGTAAAATAAGCTGTCTGTAGCTTAACATTCACAGGATTCAGAGTTTATATTAGTTTTTATGCTTTTAGATTCCAAGATACACAGGATACTTAACCTAGCAATGAGACACAGGCAGACATTATCAGCAGACTTTGCCAAAAGGAAGATAACTCGCTGAAGTCTTTTTAGCCAAAATTTGCAAAGAGAGAGTTTATTCTGCTTTGACACATGCATTAAATCATCACAACTCTTTTTTGGCCAATTTCACTTAGACAGATACTCTGCACACATGTCCTATCTAGTGTGAATATTATTATCACTTAAAAACAGCCTTCACTAGAATACATTTATAATAACTTAGTGAAGGTAATGTAAGCACATGCAAGAGGAAAATGGCCAATTAAATTATGACTAGAACAAATAAATAAATGCCTGTTCTCAGATTTATACTATATTCTCAATTAATCTACAGTTAAGAAAAAATGCAAGAATAAGGTAAGAATAAGAATGAGGTAAGCAAACCAGCCCTCTAAGAGATGTTAACAGAAGGGACGTACAGAACTGAAAGAACAAGTATTAAAATGAGG